TCTGCCTCCCTCCCGGTAAACGACTCGTCATATCGCCCCCGCGCCGTGGCGTCGACAATAGCCTTTAGTTCCTGGGCGCAGAGCCTCGTGCAGACAAACAGCTCTTAGGCCCATTCCAGAGTCGCACAAGGCCGTTAGCCCAGGGCCTTGTTTGTCCTGACAATAGCTGTGGCTGGGTCTCTAGAGAGAATGGGGATAAGATCGCCTATTGTCAGATCGTGGTGGGAGACGCGATGATTGACGAGATCATTCCCGAATTCCATTTTGGCTTTGGTCTGATTTCCGTGCTGCTGGAAACCAATCATGTATCAGTGATCGTCCCTGGGGAAGTATGGGTAGGTTACACTACTTATGGCAAACATTGATCTTAGCTTCGTCAGGCAGAAGATTGTCACGTCTGCGAGCAGTAAGAAATATAGCAATAAGATACATATAATGCACCTGATTCACGGCTAAATATATAGAAGAAAAAGATAATTAGTGGCGACTATGTAGTCTGTCATGACGGTTCCTGGCTGATGAGGCGTCTAGGAATGCACCCCATTCTCGACTTCAGCCCTAGCGTAATACTTCCACCAACGTCAATGTCTTAGCACAACAGCACAACAGAAGCCAACCAGGTATTCGGCAACATCCCATCGGAATTCCCGATCCGCTCTAGATCCAACAGATTGGATGGTTGTACCTGCGATACGATTCACAGCATCAGATGCATGCAGGGTTGGACAATCTGCAGCCACTGCCGAAGTGCCACAAAGTATCCTTGGGTTTCACAGCATGCTTATAACGCTGTGCGACCCTCCCCCCGTTCTTTGTCTCCCCCTTCTGGCTGTTCGGCGATCTCATTTCACCATGACGCTCAGCAGGCGGTTTCTCATCTTGGGGACGATATGCCTGCTGTACGGCACAGCGACGGCTCAATCCATGCTCGCAGACGCGCCGAAATGTGCTGTCAGTACTGCAGATCTTGTGCTTGGTGATTCTATTTCTGACGGGTACTAGATCGACTGTCTAACCGAGCTTCTGAGCAAGAAGGAATATGCCGAGATGGGACAGGAGGCGATGTGTAGTAGCAAGCCGTTTGCCAAAGCGATGGGTGTTTGCTTGATGGTCAAGTGCTCTATGAGACAGACCATGGGTACGTTGTTCCAAGAAGCAGGGTTTCAGGGTTGCTAACGTGTAGAAAGACTTCATCAAAGAGTCGTCGGCTGCATGCGGGATCCCGCCGACCAACAATACAACGTCGTATCGAGTAAACAGTACCGTCGTCTTTGCATTTGCGCTCGTCTTCTTCGCCTTGAGGATAGTAACCAAATTCCGGCTTGGCCTTACATGGGGAATTGACGATACCCTGACGACTCTATCGGTTGTAAGTCATTTACCTTGCGCTGCTGAACGGGTGCTTACAGGAATAGGCAGTTATGATTCCGTATTATATCGTGCTGCAGATCAGTAAGTCCTTCCTTTTGTTCCCCCATTTTCCAAGTTTGTTTGCTGACTTGGGGCTTTTTCAGTGCTTGCTTTGGGACTTGGTCTTGATATGTGGTTTATAAATGACAGCCAGATCATACTGATCTTCAAGGTTAGACTGAGCCACAAACGCTGTGACTCGTAATGCCCAAACTAATCTTGGCTTTCAGTTATTTATCGTCATCGAAGTTTTGTACTTGACCGCCCTCGTCCTCGTCAAAGCAGCAATCCTGTGCTTCTTCCTCCGGATCTTTCCAGACCACAAGTTCAGGATTGTGGTCAAGTGCACCATGGTCTTTAACGCTTTTATCTGGGTAGGATTCTTCATCTTCGTCTTCTTCCAGATCCAGCCGTTTTCACTGTTCTGGAATGGATGGCAGCAGAAGAAAGGTCATCTTATCCTGACCGGGTTTACTAATTTCACTCTACCGCTCGCGGGGATCAATCTGCTGTTGGATATCTGGATGCTCATTCTGCCCATGACGCAGCTCTGGGGGATGGGGTTGAAGTTGAAGAAGAAACTCGGCGTCATTAGCATGTTCAGTGTTGGGATATTGTGAGTGATTCAAGGGTATATTTCGATCTACTGCTAACAGTACAGTCTTACAATTGTCGCTGCGATTCGAGTTCGCGAACTTGTAGCTTTTCTACTCTCTCAGGACTTAACAGGTAGATTCTTTCAGTCAACTTTTCAGATCACGAGCTAACGTATTAACCAGTCGATCACGCACAATCCGCCTTCATCTGGTCAAACGTGGAGATTTCGGTCGGCGTCATGGTCGCTTGCATGCCGCACATTCGACATCTGGTGAGACATGTAATATCGCGAATAAGAGCAAGGCAAGGGACGGAGCCGAGACAAAACAATAGAAAGATATTCGTCGATCGATCGCTTGCTACTATTGAGGTGGGGGAGTCGCAGGCCATTGAACTGAACGACGAAGGTGGACTCTTGACGGCCAATACGGGCACGACGGCTTCATCGGCGACAAGAGTTGGGACAACGTCGACGACAAAAGAGGGGAGAAAGGACAGTAAATCATACGCGACGGTCAGTTTTGCAAGCGATGGAGATACCCAAGTGTAAGATTAGTGTAGTAAATTACTGGATGTAAGAAATATAACGGAGAAGTCACATCAATCGCGATGTAGTCTAGTCATCGAGATGACAGCCGTGATCGACTAGACTAGCAAGCATCGTGAAGTGTCAAGTGGGTTCTTCAGTCGGTGAATTTTCTAGCGCCATCTGATAAGGCCGTTCGTTACTCGCTACTGCAAGCACATGCACGCCAGGAACAGATCCACAGTGGATTGATGATTGTGTCATTCATTATATTTATTTACTTTTACTAAGTTTGTTTGTTTGGTATCGTCAACATCATTAAGACACTTGAGCCATTTATCGGCAAGTGTATCCACCGTCAATGACAAGGTCAGAGCCAGTAGTGTAAGTGCTAGCATCAGACAAGAAGTAGACATACGCAGCCTTGAGCTCCTTGGCATCGCCGTTGCGGCCCATGGGGATCATGCTCCTCCAGAGCTCCTGGGTCTCGGCGTCGATGAAGTCGGAGAGGCCAGTGTCGATGTAGCCGGGGGAGATGCTGTTGACGCGGGCAAAGTCGCGCCACTCGTTGGCGAGAGACTTCGCCATGTGGATGCAGCCGGCCTTGGCCACGTTGTAAGAGGTCTGCTCTTGAGGGTAGTTGGCGATGTGGCCGGACATGGAGGCGGTGATGACGAAGGAGCCGTGGCCCTGCTTCTTGAAGAGGGCGCCGACGGCCTTGGCGCAGTAGGCGGTGCCGTTGAGGTCGATCTGGATAACGTGGTCCCAGTCGGCAGCAGAGCCGTCGACGACACCAGCGTTGGCGGTAGCACCGGCGCTGTATATGTTAGCATCAATTGGGTTAATTGGTGCTGCAGTAACAAGGGAAACTTACTTGGCGACGAAACCGTCAATCTTGCCAAAGTCCTTGACAACCTCTCCAACAAATCGCTCAACGTCGTTGTAGTCGGCAGCGTTGAGCTTGTAGGCCTTGGCCTTGACGCCGTACTCCTTGGTGAGCTCCTCGACGTTCTTGTCGGCGCCCTCCTTGCGGGAAGCGTAGGTGATGGCAACGTCGGCGCCCATCTCGGCAGCGCCGCGGGCAGCCTCAATGCCCATGCCGCGGGGTCCGGAGGCGCCGGTGACGACGACGACCTTGCCCTTGAGGCTGAGGAGGTCGAGGATGTGGTTGGCCTTGGGGATTTGCTGAACCATGGTGACGGTGGTGAATTGGTTGGGTATTAAAAAAAAGAAGAGAGATGGAGGGGTAGAGAATGAGGAGGGGAAATGGAATGGGCAGATGCTAGACTATTTGTACGGCATTGAGTGTCTACTCAGATCATGGCGTGGTCCCAAAATAAAAGCAGCAAGCCCAAGGAGCTGAGCTGTAATGGAGGGGATGGGGCCAGTGATGTCATGGAAGCAGAGAGACCATGCAGTGCTTCTCGAGCTAGAGACGCCAAAACGAGGGGCATCGGCGATTACAAAGAGGATAGGATCCACTATCACACTCTCAATGGGTTGTTTGAAGGTCCATGCCCCTCCATTGTCGCTGCAACCGTGTTGGAAAAGACGCGTCGAGGGGTTGACAAAGTCAGTCTGTTGGGCGAGCACATGCTTAGTTAGGCAGAGGACAAGTTTCGGTGGGACGCATGAACCGAACCCCCATGTGAACTGATGATGTTTTTGACCAATTGGACTTTGTATTTAGACTTTTTGAGTGGTGAGACGTGGACGTACATCCATATGGCGAGGCGGGGTGAAGAGCTTGTCCTGCCAACCCCTCTATCTGTCTCTGGTAGTCAATTGCAGCAGCAACTGAATCAGTAGATGGATTCTTTCATCATTGATCCATAATTGAATCTTATATCTTGCCAAATACCACCGAGAATAGAGTCGGATGGAGTTGAGAGTGGATAAACCGAGCGTCATTCTCCCGTCTCAAGCTCCCTCTCTCCCTCCCTCTTCCTTGCTTAGAGCGCCCCCGCAGAACGGCCGGCTTCACCGCTCCCCATTCGGTTTAGCTTGAGAGCGCAGCACCTTGTTGGATTGGCTGAGCACGCGTTAACCTGTTCCGCGTCAGACGATTAAATTGCCTTATCCCGGTCCGACAGAAAAAGCTACCCTAGATTGAAAATCGCGATGATGAGTTAGCATCACCAAATGCTGACTTAACCCGCGATAGAGGGATAGATAATACTGAGTAATGCTTATCGCGTATCATTAATACCAGACTCATCAATCTTGGCGGGTGTGAATTGTTCATGTAATGCTTATCACACTGACCGAGACAAAAACGGAAGATGCTGTAAAAGAGGGGTTGCAGAATACATGAAGCCACTTGTTGAGAATATCACCCAAACAACATTCAATTGGACATGGAGAGCATCATAAAAAACTTGTCTTATTTGCAGTAGGTCTACTATAACCCTTGATGCATGCATGCATGTATGTATGCCTGCCCAGACCTGCCTAGGCATCGCCGCTTTTAAATAAGGTATCGGAAATCCCGCTTCATCCTCAAAGCCTCGTCGGGGCTGTCCATGATCTCGACGGCCGCCGTATGCGCAGCCACATCCTGGCGCGTCTCCCAAGCATTGGCCTCTCCCCTCTCGAGCTTTTTGTTGAGGTCGATCAGCACCAGCCTGAAGATGTAGCATCCGACCACTGTGACGCCAAACATGGACAGCACAATGCCGTAGCTCTTGCGGTACCCGTTCTCCTTCAGGTCCCAGACGTACGAGCCCGCGACGTTGCCGAGCTGGCTGAAGGCGTTGATCATGGCGATGGCGACAGCGCGCTTGGCGGGGGGTCGTGGGAAGGATGAGCTGATCCATGAGTAGAAGACGATGAAGCCTGCGTAAGATGCTGCTTGCAGGAAGAGGGCGAGGTAGCGCGCTGCGACGTTCTCGGTCGCCATGCTGATGATGAAGCCTGTCGTGCCGATGCCGATTGGGCCGACGATGTGCCAGAACTGTTTTGTTGTTAGTATAATTGCGCGACACGATGGACAATTGAACTGACCTTTTCTTGGGTTCTGTCCGAGTGCCAGGCGTTGATGACCGAGACAATACAAGAGAACACCCAAGGAGGAGCGCTCATCAAAAGAGTAGGCACGTATCCGAAGCCAAGCGTCTCTGTCAAACTGGGCTGTTGAACTGTTAGCGACGCGCTTGCAATTGACATCAATTGACTTACGAAGAAAGCATTGAACGAAAGACCAACGACATAAGCAGTAAAGGTCAGCATCATGATGTAGATCTTGAGATCCTTGACCGCAAGCTTAAGACCGTAGAAAGCGCTCTCCTCGGAAGAATCCTCGTCTGCCTCGCCGACATCCTCAATCATCCTCAGCTGCGCAACCTGTCGCTCCTCCTCCGTGAAGCCCCGCGAGTTATGCGGCAGATCGGGAAGAATAAAAGCAGCAGAGATGGCGATGCTCATTGTGATGGCGCCCTCGATCCAGAACAGCCAGCGCCATGCTGCGTGGCCCAGAACACCCTGCATGTTGGACAGCACGCCGGCGCCGACAAGCGCGGAGAAGGCGTTGGAGATGAGGTTGCCGCAGAACAGAATGGCGTTGCGCTTGGTCAATTCGCGGCGCGTGTACCATTTCGACAGAATCAGAAGAGCGCCTGGCAAGAACGCAGCTTCGACAAAGCCTAGGAAGAAACGAATGCAGACCATGCCAGCAAAGTTGTGCACACTACCCGACAGCGTCGAGATAAGACCCCACAGCAGCATCGCAGCAGAAATATACAGCGACGGGCGCTGGATGCGATTGATGAACATGTTGGAGGGCACCTGCATGAGGATATATCCCACGTACAGGATGCTCAAGCACGTCGCGTACTGGTTGTAGCTGAGGTTCAAGTCCTCCTGCAGACCCTTGAGGCGCGCGGCGGCCATGTTGTTGCGGTCGAGGTAGTTCATGATGTAGATGAGCACGAAGAGCGCGCAGCGCGTGTCGAGCTTGCGCTTCATCGACTTCTCGACGGCCTGTCGGTGCTGCGAGTCCATGGCGAAGGCGGCTGCGGCGCGGGATTCGGGGTGCGACTCGACGCTGAGTTTGGCCGAGGCGACGTGGTCGTCTGGCTTTGCGTGATCTGCCATGGTGACGGATCTTTTTCGTGGGTATCTGTAGAGTGGAAACAATTGTGAGCTACCAGTCTCACACAAACAAACGTCAACACCTGGAAAGGGGAGACTGACTGACCTAGCTGGGCATGATGAACCCTTTTTAAGACATCGAGAAACAAGGCGCTGGTAAAATACCGGCTGTTGTGAATACCTGTTACATCATCGAGCAGCAAGTATGGTGTAGCGCGGAGAAGAGAGAGTGCTGAGAGTATGGAGAATATGGGGAAGAGGTAAGGGTTTATCCGCGTAGGTTAAGCCTGATTAGGCGACTATCACGGGTTCCCCAGAGGTTGACAGTCACCCTCGCTTGGGGCAGGATTTTCTGAGACTGCAAATTTGAGTGTCACACTGGACGGATGGGTTGCGCAAGGACCCAATGGTTTGTGATGGTGGAGTGTGAGTGTAGATCTTTGCTTTTTGGAGAGGGAGATTGGAAGGGGGACAGAAAAGGGTGATAGAGACATGCACCGGAGGGACAGCGACAACCCTAAAGAAGTGGTAGATGATACAAAATAGACAGGAGTAGCTTCAAAATGTATTAATTAGTAGTACATCTAGTATTAAAGACTCGAGAATTGATAGGGTGCAGTGGTGACTGCTCTAACATTCACTACCCATCTCTCAATTCTGTCCTCCACACGCCTCCAAACATTGCAACGTTGGAGAGAATGCGGAGACTCCGCAAAAACAGCCAGAGTCAAGTGAGGGGGAACTCACTCACCAACCCAAAGCCCGTGCAAACCCCGACAATTACCAGTTCAAAAAAAAAAAAGGCCCGAATGCAGTCTCTACGGTAAATGGCCCGGAATTATTATCCTAAAGTCAACTGACTCGCAAGGCAGCAGCATTTGAAATTCCTGCCCGTGGGGAAAACGCGTGGGGGGTTTTTGGTCATTGGGGAAATATAGCGCCGTATGGAGTTAAGCTAAGATTCCGAGGAACAGAGTTTTCGACTTAATTGACCGGGTCTGGATGGGGCTCAACAACGGGAATTATCGGTGTGTGAGAGAGTCGGGTAATGATAGACCCTATATTCCAGGGACATGGTCGTGGGACTCGGCAATAAGAGGGTGACAGTTACCCCAAGCTTGGTAATAGACTTTGGGGATGTTGATGATCGTTGGTCTTGGTGTTGGAGAGTTGGATGCCAAGAGCAGTTTGGCGGTACGCGGAAGACAATTCTACAGCCTTGGCGCATGGAATCTTTCTAGAAGAAGAGATTACCAAAGAAGTGAGGCTCTTTGACTAAATGCCAGTGAGTCGTTGCGATTATCTGAGTGGATGTGTTCACTTCAACCGAGCATCAAGCTTGACAGGGGATGTTCATAATGTATTCATCCAAAGAAACAATGCGCTTTTCGCGCTCATCTATCGCTATGCTCTATAACCACAAAAACACCACTAATCCATTACTCCAACCGCCCAGCCTCACTAGTCTCATCCCTCGACTGCTTCAAAAACGGCACCAGCGTCGTGCCCCCCGTCCCCGTCAACTCCTCCCCATTCTTCTTCGACGAACTACTCGCCAGATTCTGCGGTCCATCCTTCCGCCCGCTCCTCGCCGGCAGAATGATATACCGCGTCACAATCTGGATATGCTTGTTCCTAAACACCGTGAGCGCCTCAGTCGCAGCTGTGAATGCCGCTTGGAGACGTTCTTGGGCGGGGGTGCTGGGTGTTTGGGATGCTAGTTCGCGAATACTGCCCTTGCGAGCAACGTGTGTTAAGAACCGCCGGTGAGGACCGGGCATGTAATCCTTCACTATGTCGTGATAGCTCCGTTCGCCGGCTTTTTCGGTGTTGTTACCGCTGGTTATGTGCTCTACGCCCAGCACAACATCGAAGAATTGGATCAGCGAGCTTTGGCCGTTACTTCCACCGCGGAGATGGCGCCACTCGCCCTTCCCATTCCCTTCATCGTAGAAAACACCTTTAGGCAGACCCGCTGCCTCCATGTTCTTACTCCCTGCCAAGAACGGACGGATCTTGTAGTAGAACGTCATAGGGTCGCACTTCTCATACATGCGCTCTAACAAAACGCCGACACTGTCGATGCACGACTTTAGTTGTTCGAGAGCAGAGATTATAACATCGTAGTCTCGTGTCTTGACGGCTTTGAGGGCTTCCATCATTTTGGGGACGATAGTGCCTGCGCGAGCTTCCATGGCGACGCTGATGAGGAGGAACCATTTTTCTGACTCGGTGCCAGTGAAGGTGTGTAGGGTGTCGAGATGGTCGAGATCAGTGAAATCGTCGCTTGAAGAGGAGAAGTTCCATAGGTTTGCAGCGGCATATGAGAGAACGGGAGGGAGTTCGAGATGTTGTGAGACAGCGAGGAAGGGAACAGTAATTTGCGGAGGAAGAACCTAACGCCGTTAACATCATATCCCATTACGTATAAGTAGCTTTTCTTACCTGCGCAGGCTTCTCTCCACCCCAGACATAAGCATGCGTCAAGAACGCCAAGATGGAATACGCCCTCCTCCACTCCGCCTCAGAGCGTAATCTCTCCGTCGACAGAACAGGAAGCGTATCAACAGCACGTCTTATATCAAAGTACTTGATCAGAGCGGGGAGGTGCTGAATAACAAGCTCCCATGGTTCATAGTAAGAATCGGGTAATTGTTTGAGGGGACTGTGCTCAGGGAGGAAAGCGTTGCTCGTCACGGCGAACTCTTTTAGTTCGGCTGTGAGCTTGATGCGCGGAAGTTGGTACGTAACAGCGTGTGGCGACATATTGAGCTTAATTAATTCTTAAAAATAGAGCAATGCAAAGAAGGTTAATGGAATTAGTAGAGAAGACAATTCTCAGAAAAGCATCAGTCTAAAATACAATTGCTCACACCATGGGTTATTTCTTGTTTTTCTCTTCCTTCCGTCTTCCGTATACTTGACCTCCGTCTCCGGTCTCCGAGCAAGTCTCATCCGATCCGTGTTGTGCCCGCGTGACCAATTGCTGAACCTCGCTATATCTAAAATGGATAATGACGTCCACCACGCGGATGTCGGGATGCGGATGTGCGGATGGACCAACCAAGTTCCGTGCTTCCGCTAAAAAATTGGTGGAGGCTTCACGGAACATAAAGTGATTTCGCAATCCCACTCACAAACGGGATCATACGAGTTCAACCACATCAGTTCATTACATCAAATCACCCTGCTTGTTTTATTATAATCTGCAATGGAGCTTTCTGGGTTCGTCGAGCGTTTGAGGAGCGGTGCTGCCGCCAAGTTCCCCAGCGATGCCAACTCCCTTGACTTTGCCCGCCATTTGGACTCGCAGGATAAGCTAAGCCATCTTCGGGATGAGTTTGTGCTGCCGACGAAGAAGTCCCTCAAGAAGAAAGCTCTCGACGGTTCACTTCGTGAGTACACTCGTTCTCTCAAGGAATATCTAGACTGATTGATGTAGCTGGTGCAGCCAATGGCACCAATGGTCACAGCAACGGCAACGGCTCAGCAGCCGATGATCAACAATGTCTCTACTTCGTCGGCAACTCTCTCGGCGCTCAACCAAAAGCTGTGCGAGAATATCTCAACGCTCAGCTCGAGACATGGGCTTCTATCGGTGTGAACGGACATTTCAGCGCTCTTGATAACTCACCGCTTCCCGCGTGGCAGGACCTCGCTGAGGACTGCGCTATCAAGTCGGCGGACCTCGTTGGAGCTTCTCCGCATGAGATTGTCATCATGAACACACTCACAGCAAACTTGCACCTCCTCATGGCGAGCTTTTATAAGCCGAATGAGAAGAGACACAAGGTCATTCTGGAGTGGAAGCCGTTCCCTAGTGATCACTATGCCATTGAGAGTCAGGTCGTTTGGCACGGTCTTGATCCCGAGAAGAGCATGGTTAAGATCCATCCTAACGAGGATCACATCATCACAACTGATTTGATTCTCTCAACTATCGATGAGCACGCCGAAGACACCGCTCTTCTCCTCCTCCCCGGTATCCAATACTACTCCGGCCAACTCTTCGACATTCCCCGCATCACAGCCTACGCTCAAGCAAAGGGCATCGTAGTCGGTTGGGATCTCGCCCACGCCGCTGGAAACGTCGAGCTCAAGCTACACGACTGGAACGTCGACTTTGCATGCTGGTGCACGTACAAGTACATCAACGCTGGCCCCGGATCCATCGCAGGCGCTTACGTCCACGAGCGCCACGGCAAGGTCGAGCTCAACGACGCCACCGGCAAAGCGACCTACCGCCCGCGTCTGATGGGCTGGTACGGCGGCGACAAGAGCGTGCGCTTCAACATGGACAACAACTTCATCCCCACCGCAGGCGCAGGCGGCTTCCAGCTCTCCAACCCCTCCGCCATCGACCTCGCCAGTCTCTCCGGCGCATTGTCCGTGTTCAACAAGACAACCATGCACGATCTACGCTCTAAAGCTCTGGTTCTGACAGCGTATGCGGAGTATCTACTCGATCAGATCTTGGCTGAGAGTTCAGACGCGGAGCTGTTCAGGATCATCACACCAAGGGATCCGCTTCAGAGGGGTACGCAGCTTAGTGTGTTGTTGAAGGATGGATTGTTGGATAATGTCAGTGCGGCGTTGGAGGAGAATGCGGTGATTTGTGATAAGAGGAAGCCTGGTGTTATTCGCGTGGCGCCAGTGCCGCTGTACACGCGGTTTGAGGATGTTTGGAAGTTTATGCAGATTTTGAGGACGGCTTTGCCTTAGATGAAAAGATAGATAATGATTTTAATGAACCCTGATTTTTGGATATGTTATGAGAGTCTAGTGATGTCTATTTAGGGGTTTGATTGCAGGATGAGATGGAAGCAACTGGCTGTTCATGATGCTTTTTCACCTAATTTGTTTTCTCTCCAACTCCATTGAAGGTTCTCCCTCAATTCAGAACTTTTGCATATCATCAGACTTGCATGCTGACGACGTCTTCCAGGCATTGCGCCATATGATCTATCACATTACATCCCGCATATCATCGTCTCACTCGGCTAGACAAGGCATTTCCTACCCGAGGACCAACTATCATCTTATCATGTACCACGACGCGCAATGCTCGTCGGATCTGATATCAGGAACATACCCGCCGAATCTGACACCTCCGAGCTTCCGCACCAACCGATTCGTCGTTGACGTTTCACAGATGATGCGTCAAGTCAATACCACCGCCCGCATCCAACAACGCAAACAAGTTCAAAGCCGACCCCGAGTCAGCTTCGTTCCCCATCGGTCCGCCCCAGTAGCTCGGATCAGGCGTCTGCATCATACTCTCGCTCAACCCCAAAAACGCCGAGTCCAAGTCGCCAAATAACGGCGATCCGACATTCTGCAACCCGTTATGCTGCAAGAATGTCCTGTCTAGTGATTCCCTTCCCCGTGAGGACGGTGTAGCTATCGATTGGCCTGCGAAGGTGGGTGATGAGTCCATCGTTTCGGAGGGTATGAGACCAAAGAGCTGGCTTGAGTTCTCGGTGCGGCGTTGGCGTTCGGCGAGCTCCCGCTTTTCGAGATACTCGAGGGCCGTTGTTAGAAGGGATTGGGCGATGAGTGAGTATTGGCCTGCGTGGGTGTCGTGTTTGGAGCAGTGGTCTAGAGCGTGGATGGCCATGCGGGTGTATTTCTCTAGGACGCGGCCGAAGCCACCAAGGAGGCCGACTCCGAGAACGAGAGAGCTAGCAAAGAGCCATGATCTGTAGCAATCAGAACCAATGGTCGTAAGTTGTATGTCAATGGAGACTTACACAAGAATGGGGACATGTCCGACAAGAATCCCCTTCTGAATCAGATCCAATATTGGATCAACCATCAAACTTGCCGCGTCAATACAAGCGTCAGCAAGTTTTGACTTCCCACTCGTCAAAGCAGATCTCCCATTCGAGTTGACTGAACCATCTGATAGCCGCCGACAAAGCTCATACATGAGAAATGGTCTCGACACCAGCATGACGGCGTAATAATACGTCGCCAATATCTGACAAGCACCACTTGCCTGAGCTCTGTCCTGAGCCTCCGGATTCGCAACTATGTCCTTAAGTTGCTTCAACCACCGCGAAGACCAATCCCGTAGTTGAAGTGATATCCCCTCCGTAAGCTGCAGCGACACCTTTCGTCGTGAGTAAATCTCCGTTACTACACCCTCAAGCACTAGGAATATCTGCACCGATGCATTAAGCAGATCCACCGGTTCTTCAACGTTCTCATCAGGACTTTGATACGGAACCGTACAATCAACATCCGATGTAGCAGGCGGTCTCCCCATTGACGAACTCAGAAACAGATCAACGACACGTATACTCTTCCAAAGACGATCGCGCTGCCTGTGAATGTCTGGACCGAAACGCGCGTTGACTTCTGTTCTGTGAATGCCAATCGAGTAACCTGCGCGCACCGCTGTTCCAAAGAAGAGAAACGCGCCGTTGATCTGGCATGAACACAGCATGTAGAGTGTGATGAGCGTAAACATCTGGACTGTTGAGACGCTGAGATTGCCGGTGAGGTTGGAGTATGCTTTATCGCGCGCATACTCAAAGTAATCCTGCGATCGCTCCTCGTCGTTAATCTTCATACCGATGGCGAGCACGAGGAAGTTGACTATGGTTGTAGCGTCGTCTTGTTTCTGGTCCATGTTCGCCCAGAGAATGAGATCATCTTGAAGGCGGCGATTGTCGAATAGATCCACGAGTCCTGTCGCAATGGATAAGTAATTCGATACTGCGAGGGGGATATCCTCTGGATGAACGATTGGTGTGCGGTTATCACCCGGTATCCGTCTTGACTGATGCGCCGTTGCATTTTCAAGGACTGAATATCGACTCGACTGCGGCGCAAAAGCATTCTGTCCAACTCGTGTAGTGACAAGTTGTCTCACGCTCTGGAAGAAAGAAAGAGGCGCACAATCGCCCACAAAGATTAACTTTCCCTGTGCATCGCAAACCAACCTCGCCTCCCTTGGAACCTCAGTCTCATCCTCCGCATCAATCTGTGCTCCATTATCTCTATCATTCTCCCTCACAGGCTCAGCAGCAGGCGTAGAAGGCGTAGTATGTCTCGTCGACTGCGCCCGCTCCGAAGTCTGCGGTGATCGCACAGAATGAGCCTTGCGCCGCCGCTGGGGAGAGTAATGGCAGTCGTGAGGCTTCTGGCGACGCGTGCAGTAGCTGCATGGCAATTTGCCGTCGCACTTGACTTTGCGGGACTTGCATCCGTCGCAGGCGTTGGCGATGCGGCTGCGGATGTAGCGCTCTGGTTCTGAGGGTTGCATGCTCTGTTGATCGGTGAATGGTCTTTTTTCGGTGAAGCGTGCGTGCGTGCGGAAGCCGGATGTGCGAGAGGTGAGAGAAGGCGGAAAGACGCGGATGTTCGGAGGGAAATTGTTAGTGCAGGTTGAAGCTCGGGCCGGCTTGAGATTCCGGGTCTTGGCTTGAGGTTGAGAATGGGGAAGTATAAAACTCGCCTCTTATCGATGAATGAAAATTGCGAGTTGAGTTATTGCAAAGTTTGCTAGAGACGTATTGTTTCCGGAGTTTGACGGGGTGGTATTCGGTATAAGTGATAAACCAATCGCATGTGCATCTTGTGCATGTTCACATCCGACAATGACGGCACAGCGGCTATGTTCAGCGGATCAGCACTACCATCCACTGGAACTGACTCTCACTCACAACACAGGACGCGCTCAATTGACCAACTCTACTTTACTCATTAGCAAAACAGCAGCGCATCACTAACTTCTCGTTTCATTTAAGTAAAACCAGTGACTTTTCTGCTGCAAGTTCCCTGCTAAGGGCTATTATGAAATCCCTAGCCGTTATCGCGCGCCGATGTCTCTGTCAATCTCATCTGTCCCGTCCAAAACCGCATCCAGCATGCTTCACTGAACCTAATCAGCGCTTGTCTTCTGCTTCTTCGCGCCACCATCACCACCATCGTTAGCCTTGCACTTCGTGCCAGTCTCATCAACCTGCTCTGCCTCTTCATCTCTATCCGCCTCAGGCACAACACCAGAGTCCTGTTCCCGCAGCCTGACTCTCCACATCATCAGGCCAAGCACTGACCTCACCCCGAGCTCTAGCCTCAACACCAAGACGCAACTGCTCATTCCGTTCGTAATAGGCATCTCCATGTTCGTACCCAGGTTCAAACTGATCGTGTGTGGACCTCATGGAATGCTCGAACGCCAAGAGACAGTTTTCCCTCAACCTTTCTGGCGTGTAACTCAGCTTTTCCTCAAGCCTATCAACCCCCTTTTCGAAGTCAACGTCAATCACCTTGAGGAAGCGATAGCACCCTGCGACAAGGACATCTTCATTGTCGGCCCAGAATTTCTTGTCTTCGGGGAAGTTGAGCATCAGCTTGGCCGCAATGGAGAAGACATGACCGAGGCCAGGGGCGATACCATCGTGATGTGTCATGGAGCGCCCATCATAGTCTTGCCCTTCCATGTCGTGCATGACTACCCAAGCATAGCGGTTGAATCCCTGGTGCCACGCAGTCTTGATCATCTCAAAGATGCAGACCTCACGGATTGCACCTGTCATCCATTCAGGTAGGTTGATGTCCTTCGACAGCTGCATTGCCCTCTTGGCGCAGCAGATTCTCTCGATTTCATCATGGTAACTCCAGCGAAGCTTGAGCATATGAACCATTGCTGGCTCTCTGTGGTTCAGCCGGTTCTTGACCATGTGGTTTATAGTCCGAAGAAGGCGTTCTGGCTCAAGCGGCCAATCCAGAACCAGAGCTTTACAGCAGTACTTTTGCATGTCCGCATGCATCACCTTGGTGTGAATGTTGGCCACAAAGATCTCCAGGCCAGACTGAGGGTTGTTCCATTCTCGAATGATGCGATTAGTCTCACCTGCCCCATCCGAAGTGCGGACAGTGCCGACATCGAATCCAGCCGTGACGAACAGGCTAACAAGAACGCTATGGAATGTCAGTGATTTCGCTACATGATTTCAAACAAGCCTGCTTGAATATGAGGTGATCGATGTGTAACTTACCATTGGATCCATGAGTCTTCGACATACACAAGAAGACGCTCCTTGTTATCTTTGCAGTACTTGATCGCCAAATCTAGCGCCCAGGTCATGATCGGACTGTGGTAGAGAAGCCAGCCGATCGTGACATCCCTGCTGCCCAGTGCCTTCACACTTCTATCTAGTTGGTTCTGCATGTAGAACAGATCAACACCACAGCTTTCATCTTCGTGTACCGTGTCGTACAAATTGGTCATGGTGATCACGTCGGGATTGGCATCGTCCTCAATCTGCGACCTTGGAACTTTCGGATCGTTGAGTCTCTCGATGACACTCTTTGCATTGCTGAGAGTACCTGGGAAGAAAGGCGTGCTGGATTTCAGAACAGAGTTATTGCGCCAATCGAAGCAGGCCAAGAGTGCGCTGCGGTGTTTCAGCGTCTCTTCATCTGTCTGGTTGCATACCTGTTCCGAGACTTTGGGCATGATCCTTGCAACAAGACAAGCAATGTCGCTATCTCCTTTGAAGTCGCACTCTTCGATGACAATAGTAGGTGAGAGCTCACCAGTACCTGGTCTTGCTAAATCCACAGTGCGTTAGCGTGTAATTGGGGTCTTATTAGCTGCCTAAGCCTAATCTAGGGTATCTACCCTGTATAATCCAATCTAATATATTTCTTACACATTATCTTTAGCTATTTAACCACCTAAGTAAAGAAAATTAGGTTTTCTTTAATTTAGACTAATTATAGCTCTTTAAGCTACCTTAATTTACTATAATCAGTCTCTAATTAGCTGTATAGCCAGTTAGATCCCCTATAACCCCTAGCTAAGCTATGCCTAATAACTGGCGGTTTGCCTTGGCCTCGGTTGACATATTAGGCTACTTTTAGAGGCCTGCCTTAATGAAAGGGTTAAATTGTGCCCTTTGCGGGTTTTGAACCTACTGCCTTCTGCATTGCTGCAGGGCTTGCCTAGGTGCTTGACCATTGCACCAAAGGGCACAGTGCGTTAGCAATATGATGAGTCAAGACAGAAGAATTCCAAGCAGAAGTTTTTGAGACGGCCACTGAATTCAAGAAGCACACTTACCAGCATGTTGATGTTTCACGAAGGTGGTAATATCGGACCCTTTGAGAGAGAAGGTGACCCGCGTTTCAGTCTCACGAGATCTTGCGAGGAGTTTGTCGAAGTCGAAGTCCGGCTGAGCGTGGAGTTTCTTGGCGAAAGCGACTTCAGCCTTTAGCTCCCATTCAAGAAGCGGATGCATCTCAGGTCTATGTAGCGCCCTCTGGCGCTCGGCAACAGTTCGTCTTGGGCGCGTGGTTGTCGAGGCCTCTATCAACAATGTGTTGATCTTGATCGTATCAAGCCCTTTAATCTGCTGCGGTTCGCCAAGAGCTTCAGATGCATCCGCATCCACCAAAGAAGTCGGCTGATCAGGTTGGGAGTTAGGCATAGAGTTGCTAGGCTCGTCATTTGACAGTGGCGCAGTAGTAACTTCACGTTGGTCTTGACTCATTGCTGGGGAGGCTGGACAGTGATAGCCTGGAAACCCAACATCAGACGAACTCCGAGGGGCAGTCTTAGTAATCCATTTCGATGCACTCCGTCGTTTGAGCAAGTAGTAGAACAACAAAACCGCGCGGTGGAGGTCTTCTACAGAGAAGAGTCCAGCGACAGCGGGTGTTGTCCCACCTCCAATTGTTTTAGGGGTCGGGAATCGATGAGGGTAAGCGCTCTGATCCCGAGAGTAGATGCGATTGGGGTTCCAGTCCTGGGGGGCGAAGAGAAGTATCTGAACAGCGTGTGCCAGGATAAACGCCTCAGGCGAGATACTGCTTGACCCGCCAGGAGTCGAAACGGGTCCGTTGAGCACCGGGATAAATGTTGGCTTCGTGCAGAGTTTTGCGACGTTGTTGATGAACTCCCGAACCTTTTCATTTCTGTGATAAGTCATCAAAACTTTGATTGGGTCAATGGCTTTGATGTCAACGCGATATTCTAATCGATTCTGTCTTTGGTAGTCGTGAAGTCGTTTGTTGAGAGGCTCAATTAAATTCTGAAAGTCTTGATCGACTTGACTCGCTTCGCGCATGGTCTTCTAAACCTGCGACAAATTTCCGTCGCCATGGTTGTTGAAGTAAGAATGAGGCACCAAGAAGCCATTTTGTGCAACAAAGGCAGCCTGGTAAACGATGTCTGGAACTGCAGAAGAACAAATTAGCACGTAAGGCGACGATGCAGAGGTGTATGATGCTTACTGATGACATCAACATAAGAACTTAGCTCCCTGATGCTCTTGAAGGTGCAGTACTGAGCAAGGTAGACTGCATCCTTCATTTCAACAGTCCACACCTTGTTGACCAAGACACCCATCTTTCTCTGAACTTCGAGATTGGGATCTCTCAAATCATGGACCCCAGCTTGAGCATGTTTGGCATGAGAATAGTCGCAGTATTCCTCAACCCAGGTTGGAAAGGAGACCTTGCGGTCATTCACATGCTCCTTGTCTTCGTTTAACAGGCGCATCAAGCCGATAAAATCATTATCCCCATTAGAGGAACAAGAGTTGCTAGCCATTTCGAAAGAGATAGCGGATTCCGGTTCCAGGAATTGCTGTAGGACGGAGGCAAGAGAGTGGTGTTGAATCAAAGTAATCCGGAGCACCTCCACTTGAATCTTCGAGAATTGACGGAAGTAGAAAAGGTGAAGAGTTTGGGATAATGATTCCAAGCACGGCTGCTTGGAATGGCTCGGTCTGTGAGATAAAGCCTCTCAGCCAATTACCTCAGCTGGCGAGGGCCGTCGTAGGAAACGATTGCAAGTAGGTCTGTTTGAAGGGGGCAGCTGCTCACAATTCCGAACAGGCGTGCGTGAACTACGACCTCAACGGCATAAGAGAAGAGGAGGATAAAGGAAGAAGAAAGAAAAGGGAATCAAATCGAGGAGGAGAGATTATATAGCCAGCTGCGGTCACGTGATAGCATGGCTTTAGCGGCTGTAATTAAGTAGTGAGGGTATCACGATTCGTTGATGATGAGCAAAAGTTCAAGACCTCTGGTGTTGAGGTAAACTACACGGACCTGCTGATTGAAGTAGTCGGAAACGCACCCGTAATCATTATCTCCATTGCAAATATCATCAAATAGAGGTTATGCATTTTTAAACCTCGTCATTGCTTTTCTTCGACGGTCAAGGCCGTCGTGTTACTGGATCCAATCCTGCACCGGGCTACTGACAGGGAATTACCTGACAGCAACGCGTGCCACCAGGAAACATAATAACCTTCGAAGAAAACACAGTTATAATAAAAACTCAGACCTCAAGCGATGACTGAAAGCTCAATAACAAGTTGATACTAGAGAAGCTTCCCGTAGCCACTAACGGTAGAAGATTATGAGCGGTGCAGTAATGACTTCTTCATGGAACTTGCGTCTGTTTGTTCAAGAGAATTACTGATGCGAGCCCCATTGTCTTTTTGAGTGGCAGACTTGAAGCCGAGATCCTTCGCAATGCTGTCGCGCGGTTTGTAGTTACAAAGCCGGCGATTTTGTCAATCATGTGACTGACCCGGGTAACCAAGGACTTTGCCCGCGTCGTGCATGAATTCTAGGCACGTTTGACTGAAAGCTAAATATTGTCATATTGCGGAGGGCTCCTGGATTGCTTACCATCTTGTAACAAGTTCCTCGTCACCTTTGAAGTAAGATCGTTCTGAGAAAGGTCCCTGAATCTGGAAGACTAGCTATCTTATGTCGGACTTGAAGCCCTCTCGGGATCGCAGTACTCGAGTAAATTGCCTCTTCCTTATGAGACTTGAGTTGAATCAACATTAATGAGTTTGCGCCGACTCCTTATGCAAAGACCTACTACCGTGGTTCCATGCCGGCTTCTTAGTCAAATCCTCGTAAGTCAAGAAATACAGAAAAATGAAGAATGTATCAGTTATGTCTCAAAGTCTACATGAGAGGTCAGCTGGCAATCGCCCAATTAGGAAGAAGTTGGAAATGGTAACAAATATGATATGACACTTCACGTGCCATCCGACCTGTTCTTTGGACTCTTCCAGACTCAAACTTGGGGTTGTGGTGTTGAGATACCCCGCAGTTCTCCGCGTTCGTCTCCTGATATGAGCACTCGGCTGACAACCGTTCGCATTTCCCGTTATAGCCGTCACTCTGGGGTAAGTCCCCGGCCAGAAATGTTAATCGTGATGAAAATCAGAAAGTGTAGTTATCTCCCCCCGGGATCATTAAAACTGGCGAGACTAGAGTTCTTGGCCAAGTATACCTTCTTCATGTTATCACGCAAGCCAAACAAACAAAACGGACTCGATTTACAGCCCGTACAACGTTCGTTAGATGCTGGGTCACATTCCTCCTCGGCTTCACCCTCCTTTGATGCACCCGGTATCCTCCGGATGATGTTGGGTGACAATCGCAGAACTTTAGTAAGCTAAAATGCAAATCTGCATTGATCGTGTGATCTGATGCTCTTCTTGTATTAGCCAAAAGTCTACGGAATCGATGGAAAGCGAAGCGCGTAAGTGGCTCCATAATTCGACGTAACAGCTTGTAATTGCGCATAAGTATCGAGTGATGTCCGGCATTCTCTCGGGAACTGGATTTCTTTTATTCTCTGCATGTCACCACACAACTCGGTGCTACATACTACCTCGTCAACAGAATCTCCAATTTTGTGACTGCAATTAAAGAAGCTTCTTATCTAACACTTCTCCTCCATACTCATCACCAACCCAATCATATATCCCCCAGCATCAATTATGGCTTGGGACTTGGAGATCGGTACGCCTTGCTGGGTCGCAACTGGTGATGTTGAGATGCACAGACAAAGTGTCACGCCTCGTCGAGCTACCCCCAAGTACTTTGAAGTCCCAGACAAGATCGACATGCCTGGAGCAATATACGACGACCTTCTTGAAGATGTTCGAGAAGGTCTGGAGGAGATCTTTGAGCACCCAGGCTCCCGTGCACCATTCATACCAGGGTATCAAGATCGTGCTGATGCGATCGCGCGTGCGAAGCTGTTGCGAGAACACGGCCAGAAATGCCCGAACGTCATGATGGTGCATCTCAGGCCTCCCTCTGGAGTCATCTGCCATCGAGAGCTGAATGTCTATGCGCGCAAGGTTGCTTACAATGGCGAGGGATTGAGAGTGGCGAAGAAGAAGGTTTATGTGATCTGTGAGCCTTTTACCAAGAGAAACATTAATCGAGTCGAGCCAGTCCAGTTTGAGTGATGAGAGTAATCAGTTGGATACTTGGTGTTGCATGGACGGAACAGGCACTTCTTTTGGTGGGGTTTCGTTGGTAACAGGACAATCTTTCACAGATTCTGCTAACAGGGCTTTGCCGCTGTTTTGAGATTATATCACATCAGGTCATTGTAATACACATGAGATTAAGGGCAGATCATTTTATTCACGACTATGAATCTATCATATGATGTTGTTGATACCGTAATAAACCCTTCTGATTCCTGCCCATAGCAGACCCCAATGTCACTCAAAAGATTGTGTCTGCGTGTAAAAGAATTCCCATTCTCTGACTTATTCCTTCGGTGGCCCATCACTGTCTGATGCCCAAAGTAGTCGTCCATGGAGGTGATTTACTGGCGCAAAAGCACGTCAACCTCCGACGAGAGAATTGCCTTGGCCTCCACGGCACCTGTGATACAAGTCGCCTTGATAGACTCCTCAAATTTGCCGAAGTCGACATTTCCATAAGACTGAACCCAGTCGTGAATGCTCGGGAAGATTTGGGCAGCGTCAAAGTTATATCCAATACTTTCGAAGATTAAAGGCATGTGAGCCGGGTCAACAATGCATCGTTCCTCACCGCATTCAACATCTTGATTGCGATTATAGATCAGCCAGACAGGATGTCTAGGCGCAATGATATCGACGACAAGGACATATTCAGTGGACTCGGTGGATGAGTCGTAGGTCGTGCTTTTAACTTTCTTCGTCACCTCCCCGACAGTATAGACCAGGGTAGGAAGAGAATGCTCAGTTCCAGGAAGGGTAGAAACCTCGAGGGTTAGGAACATGAAATGATTCTCGGGGACTAACTTTTGTTGGTCTTGATTATCCAGAATATCAGAACATGCTCGCATGGCATAAATGGCCTCATCGCTGGTAACCAGATCAAAACGGGCCGTGATATAAAGCAAACCACAATCAAGAGACAAAAGAGCCTTGCGGTCTGCAAAATCTGTGATGGCAAGCTTCTGAAGCCACTCCAGAGGTGACCGACGCGGCGGGATACTCCAAGCCTTGCGTGGGTGTCGATCCAGGCTGCTATCGCGAGCGGTCGCTCCCTCGAGTTTGCGAAGGTATTCAGATGGAGAAATTAGCCAACAGTTCTTTCCTTGGAAAGGACTACCAAGAGCTGCCTTGATCTCCGCGACGTCAGCATCGGACATCTCGTCGTTTTCCATTGTATCGGTTGCCAGTTGCGACTCAGCCTGGCCCAGAAGCTCAGTGACGTACGCCAATGTCACCTCCTTGGCCTTCACAAAACCAAGGAGGCCAGTCGCCTTGATGGACTCCTCAACCTGATTGAAGTTGAGGTTCCCGTAGGACTCGAGCCAGTCGTTAATAGTGGGGAGGATCTGTGCAGCATCAAAGTTCTTCCCAACTCCGTGGAAAACCGGGTCACGTTCGTCCGGGTGGACGTAGTCTGGCTCGGGTTCGTGTCCAGACAGCCGATCCCAGATCAGCCACACAGGATGCCCAGGCGTAATGGCATCAACGACCAGGACATACTCAGTCTCATCCGAATCTGAAACACCACTCTCTGTTGTGTATCTTTTGTACAAGCGTCCGATAGGCAATACTACAGAAGGAAGTGATGATTCGGGGGCTTTTCATCCGCGGGAGCAGGTCGAGCTTTGGACTTGGGGAAAAGTTCAAGAGCCAGAAGGCCTGGATGGACACTGTCGTGATCCACAATTGGCGTTTCCTCTAGAGTCAAGGCGCCGGGGCATGGCGAAACAGTAAAGGCATCTTTCCCAGTGCATAGAATGAATTCCCCGACGTGATGCTTGACCAAGTCGAATCGAAGGTTGAGAACAGAGGCAGGGTCTGCAAAGTCCAGTTTCGTGAGCGCCTCAAGCCATTCCTCTGGTGTCTGACGCTGAGTTAGAAGATCAGCAATAGCATCGTCGTCGGTATGGCTAATCAGAGATTCCTGCCTCTCCAGTAACTTGGCACGGAGATTGGCGTCATCGAATTTGTCGTCATCCATGGTAACGGTGGTCACTTGTGATCGGGCTTGGTAGAACAGCCTCAACAGTTTGAGTAGGAATGGTGTCCGTGTATACCTGTGAGAGAGTATGTGAGTTAGTAGTCTTCTCTGATGTATCACCACCGCAGACTTTCTGGATGTTCGTACCAAGATTGTGGTGAGCACTCGAGCGAGTGCTACGTTGTTTGTCGATTCGGATCACCAGTCTGGACTAAGCGTCAAGTCGCTGGGTTGGTCTTCGGAGCGTTTGAGGTAGGGAAAGGTTGAGTTGTCTTTGGTAGAGATCAAAGACTGATGTGGTAGGAGGGAAGGAATCCGTTGATGGTGGGAAAAGGATGAAGAAGGAAGAAAGAAGGAATGCGAAAACAGAGAGGGAGAGGAGCATTTATTGTCTGGTATGGCGCTAGTGGACTGTTGCGAGTCACTGCCACTGGCTCCAATGTTGTGCTGCCAGTGTCAAACTATTCTCTATTGCCTAGCGACGAAAGCGGGTAAAGGGCAAGCAGTAATGCTAAGTCATTCCTCTCCGATGGTTTCGTCTATGCACTGCGCACAGGTGTTCACCTGTGATCTGGCAGATCCTGTACATGATATCGAAGCAAAATGAACCCAACGGATCTGGTTCGTGGGGCCAAGACGTCGAATTTTCCAAGACTTGAGATTTCCATCAAGCGATGAATAGACTGTTATGTTCTGTTCACAAGAGTACACAAAGAAATCTGCATACCACATAACTGAACAGGTGAGCTTTCGGTGCCATTGAACAGGTACGGCCGAAGTCTCTCTCAGCTCAGCTATTCAGGAAGACCTATGAAAAGGAGGAATAGCCATCGATCATTCAACTTTACAAGCAAGGCTTTGCGAAGCTAATTATTGGCCAGGGAGATATTGCACTGAACCTGATGCTGACGTTAAGTCAAGACTCAGACCCTGACGATGCAAAATCCTCAAATCAAAGGGTCATGTGACGCAGACATTCTCGAAGTACTCTGGGAGGATACTGATGCCTATCTATCCTCGATTATCTCCCCTTCCATAAGATACTGTGTCGTGTCACAGAGTTTGTGAAAAGCTGGGACCAGGTCGAATACCTGCTCAGCCTCTTTGACCTCAACTTTGGACTCAGGGGTAGTCTAAGCAGCTGGTACAGCGCCTTTGGCAGCCTACAACCCCTATGGAATTACCGTCTAATTCTATGGCGACCTTTCCATAGAAGCCAATTAACCCAGTGTGTAGACAAATAATGGCGGACTGTTGAGGATTCGAGATTGAGAGACTTCTTGAGACAGGGAGGAGGCGGGACTCCCTCTAGTCAACTTTGAGCTATTCCTAAGTGTAGAACGGCGCCTCGAGAATGAATTTGCATTGCTGAACATGATCATAGACAATAAATGGAACTAACCACGCCGATGTTCACGAAAACAAAAGACTTGATGGTACACAGTACGTGAAGGAATTGGGAAGGCCTTATAGACGCTGGATTTGTGGGCGGTGGCGCCCAGGAAGCCTAAGATATACTACAGCAAGTTCTCAACTTCAGCAAACCATTTTTGATACATATCAACGGCTCACAATGGCCAACGTGATGTTCCAGCGCTTGGAGATACCAGAATACCCCAAGGCGCATTTGACCAGGTCACCTCTTGAATGCCATTGCGTCTTAAGTCGTGGTCGGATGTCAGAATTATCAGGCGCTCGACAGACATAATGTCACGAAGAGAGAGGAGGGAGTCAACATCAGAGTACACAGAAGAGATTTGAAGCAGGCCTTATCGTTGGAGAGCTAGACGTATGTTCTCCTTTTAGATATCCCTCAAGAACTGGATACTTGGGAGACAAAGAGTAAGACACGATGGGAGGGTGGAGGGCTAGAATTAGCAAGGATTTAAAGGTAGCTACTCGGAACACTTCAAGAACAAGTCGTACTTCCTTCTATTGCAATAAATTGGCGATAATGAGTACTTTAATCCATTTTTGAGACTTAGGATTTGTGAACGACATTAGTAGCTTGAAGAAAGAATTTGAAGTTGCTGATGTACTTCTTCTCTTTTTGGCTCCTTCTGGTCGTCTCGCTGTGAGTACAGCTTATTACGATCCGCACCAGAAAGACAAACCGGTTGCACCGCTCCAGTGAGTTCAGGCCTGAGATCTCCCCGTGGAAAAGCGGAGGTCGAGGCCTGAGGGTCATGATTGTGCAAGGATGACGGCCACGGCATAAAGCCTCTGCAGAAGCTGAACTGTGTGGCGTTCCGGTGAGGGCACCTCCCTGCATGCGCCACCAATATTTCCTGAACATCACTTACTGTGATTTGCGATGCTGCTGCACACTTGATACCATATTTTCCTGTAGTCAACGCCATGCTAAGCCCTTTATGCTTCTTTGTATGGTTATGTGCACGCATGAGCTACCGCAAATATTTCTTTTCCTCCTTCATAACAGCTGGCTCAAGCCATGGCGTTTCGTCTTCGGTATTTACCGCCCCTCCGAACCCAACCACCCAACGCCATTTGCACATTTAGGTCGTGGCCGTTTCTTGTCCATTAGTTTGGGATCAGTAACTTGGCGTACAGCGTCCATGTTCCGCAGGTTCATATACAGTATACCAGTCAAACGAACATCGTAGTGCGAACCAACAACCAGTCACAAGGAAAGATTTGTGCTTGCCGCCAATCTCTTGATCAGCCAGGGACGCCGTATCAATCCGAACAGCCACATCCCGTCTGCAGTTGGCATCGATTGTGCCCAGAACCAGGACGATCTGTCCATCTTGAGCCAATTCGAGTGCCACTTTCGATAGCCTTGAATAGGAGACACCCTTCACCTAGAGACCCCCTGTTAGCTGTCATGCACTATCGCTATCTAGATCACCCAATGGCGCCGACTTCCCCTCAGATTTGCAGAGCCTGATCTCTACCCGAAGAGAGACAGGCATAAGAAAGAGGCTCAAAAAGAGGAGACTCCCGCTGTTGTGCGGAGTTGAGTCTCCATGTTACGAAGCCTCCCCATTTCATCTGCGACTCTACTGAAACAGACCATGGAGACCTTCATACGGAAGCAAATTGGGTTCATATGCACTCAAGCTATACTTGCTCTGCTTCTCACTGTCCACTGGACCACCGCCAAGAACCCCAAAGATGACTTTTGCCGAAGATTTGCACACCAAACAACGGTCATTGACGACAAACTCTACATCGATGGCGGCTGGGTCAACTTTGATGACTTCCAGCAAACTCACGAGAACTACTCCAGTATGTCAACCCAGGAGCTTTCAGACAAGTCTTCTTGGCGACTAATTATTTCCAGATACCTGGCTCTCATACCATGACCTCAACAACCTCGTCGAACGAGGCGGCGATCTTTGGCCAGACCTGAATATCAGTCTAAGCAAGAATGACAGGTAAGATGACCCCCACGTTTCTCTTCATGTTCCTTTGAGATCGGCTAACGCCAATGCAACAGTATTCCGAGCGTAAACGGCGGCATACTCTGGGGCGATAGCGTCAACAAGCGATTCTACCTCTACGGCGGCGAATGGAACAACGGTTTCTCACAAGAGCCCTACAGTCTGATCAGCTACGACATAATCTACGACAAATGGGACGACTTTGGAACGCCCGATATAACCCCTCCGCCGAAGGTAGCCTCGTACGGCGCTGGTGTCGGTGTCTCGGAGACCGGCATGGGCTACTACCTCGGAGGATGGATAAGCAACGCCTCCATGAGCGGATGGACCGGCGACAGAACCATGAGCTCCAACTTCTACACGTACTCATACGACTCGGAAAAGTTCACACAGGCGGCTAGTCTTAGCAAACAGCCCAGAGCTGAAGGAGGCATGGTCTGGATACCTGCTGGCGACTCTCTCGGCCTACTTGTGTACCTAGGAGGTATTGTCGATCCTTATGGTAATAACACGGAAGCCCCGCAGCCATTCGATGAGGTCTTTGTCTTTGATGCCAAGGGAAACTCATGGTCAACCCAGAAGACGACTGGAGAGATACCGCAGAATAGGCGTCAGTTCTGCGTCGATGTGGCGTGGGCACCAGACAAGTCTTCCTTCAACATGTAAGTCAAAGCCATTCATGATCCCCATCACCAGGACCATATGCTCACATCGTCAAAGATACCTCTGGGGAGGATTGAGCGTGCAACCTCCCGTTGTAAACGCAACCTCATTCAACGACATTTACATCCTGACCCTCCCGTCGTTCATCTGGGTAAAGGCATACCCCGACCATCACGGAAACGCTACGCTCCCACCAGAGTACGACCACTACAGCGCATCATGCAACATGGTCAAACACATGTCGCAACTTTTTGTCATCGGAGGCACCTACACCGACACTGACGCTTGCGATCTAGCGTATGACGCTTGGTCAATGCACAATTTCTGGACCGGAACAAACAACAACGCGGGGAACAATGAGACGTACTGGGCTATCTACAACCCCAACATCACGGAGAACGTCGTACCTGTTGACGTGTATAATGTCACTGGTGGAAACAAGAAAGGCGGTGCGAAACTGGTGGCCCCCAAGGATGGTTTCGATGAGGGAAACAAGCCTCTGCAAGACTTGCTTGGACGCAGGCCAGAGATAGCAGAGCGCTCGCCAACCCGATCGATCCCTTCCACGACAGGCACATCAACAGCGTCGTCAAAGCCAAGCGAGACAAACAAGCCTGATTCGAAACTAGCTACAGGTGCTATCGTTGGCATTGCCACCGGCGGTGCTGCAGGGCTAGCTATTATTCTACTCATATGGTTTTGTATCGGCAAGAAAGTCAACCGCCGTCGTGAAGAGAGACGTCAATCCTCAATGACACAGAATCAGTATCAGGCCAACGGGGGCAACCTGATACATCCTCCCAGCACGGTCAGTCCGCTCACATCGACGGGGTATTGGGGCCACGCATCGGAGCCCGTGAGCCCGCACCACATGAGTCCTCACCAGTCCATCTCCATTTCACAAGTTCCTCCTACAGAGCTTCCTGCAGAACAGCATGGCGGTGGATATGGTGTGAACGAGCTCCCTCAGTATGAAGTTGGTAGGAAGACACCTGTCTCGCCTGGTGTATCTTCTCCGAGTTGGTCACCTGGTCCTCCTTCAAGCTATACACCAGAGAGGCATCACCAATGATGTTGCTGGAGAGAGCGTTATATGATGCTTGGTGAATGGCTCAGAGCTTTCATATCACGGTCTTTTCAATGATTATCGTAATAGTAATGTTGCGTTATCAATAGCAATAGCCATTTCATTATATTAAACTAGAAGTGTATTTTGTAACTTTTTGACTGGCCCACACACTTGATACCGCCACGACCTTCTGATTGCCCCAAACCCTCTTCCTTGAGACATCCATAATATTTTACATAGTTATGGGGCCATTTTCAGTTTATTCGGAGTTCTCTTACTAACCCGAGAGGCATTGTTACAAAACACCGATCCTCGCGATGCTCAAGTCGCAAGAAAGCTCAGGGCTAGAGAACGAAAGAAAAGACCGCCGCAGCACGAAAGTTGGATTTGATCTTCCGATTGTGAGACCCACCACTCTGGTCAAGAGTGGGCTGGTGCTATCAAGTTTTCTGGCTCCAGGGAATGGAGATCAGAGGGCTAAACCTTGCAGTTGACAAGTGGTCCACCAACTCCATCTGTCCCTCTAGTAGGAGGGTTGGCCTTGACGATGCTACAAGGATACAGTGAGTATGATAATTACTCTGGATGCTAGTGGCAGGGTCATCCAGGGTTCAATTGTTGTTGCAGTGAACAGAAAAGCATGCAGATGTCTTTTCAGCCCTGGATATCGTTCAGATATGGGGTGACTCACGTTCAGCGATACAGAAAACTGAGATAAATTGGGAACGCCGTTTGAACACAGATGCCTATTCCATGACGAACCAAACACCATATACTCAACTGCAAACAGAGATGGTGTTTAAAACTCTGTGAAGGCTCCTGGCAATGGCTCCTCAAGTCGGATCCAGTGGCGTTCCACTTACTGAACTTGCTTCCTCAAGGGCTCAGCGGCCATGTTCCCTGAGAGGCACAGTGTAATGCATGTTAATTTTAATTTCTATTGGTGCTGTGGTGGCGATGGATGCTAGTGAAGTGTCTAACACTGCTGAGCGGAGAGGTCTCATTCATAGAAACGCATCAACTACCACACGAAGCGAAGACCGCCAGGTGAGATGAGCCCTGAGACGCCAGGATTGGGAGAAGTGAACACTGACCACTGAATCTGACTCCACCGTGAACAAGCACTTGCTCCATGTAGCTGGGGTATCCACTGGCTCAACTCTCTGTTGCTTTTCTCCAACTCCGTACGTGATCTCTGTTCTTCCTCGCCTCCACTCTCAACCCGGTCGCCTATACCATACTCTTCACATTGTAACTATCGCCTTTATTCTGCCATCTCTGCGCGCCTTGATCCACATTCTATACCCCCTTTACCCTGCTGGCAATGCGTCTCGGAGCCTCTGAGTAGATTTGGCTCAATATTTGACCAAACTACTGAGCCATCTTGAGTCTTCCACGCTACGGGCATAGGAAAATCAACATCTCGGTTGCATCCAAGCATAGTCAAGTCTGGTCAACAACTGGTACGAGACTTTACAGATACTGAAGTACGCAGAGAGATCAAAGCTAACGACTAATCTTAGGAAACTTCCGTCTTGATATATCCGTCACGGATATAAACAACCATACCTGTACCTCGACAAGATCGATAGAATGACGCCACAAGAAACCGGAGCCGACGATCTCGGTTCCCAGGATCGGGGAGTCGCTGAAAATAACAACACTGCCGACTATTCTACCGTGCATCCCCAACCCCCCACCAACATCGCTGCCCGTGGTTCTTATCGCAGATGGGATCTGCCAAAGGAGCTTCGTGTCATAAATAATTTTGATGGCCCACCATATTCGCGGTGCAAAGTCTCCGCCAAACTGGCAACCAAGTACCTGTCATTTGCCAGAGAGTCTGACTTCATCTCTTATGCCAATGATGTCCTTCCAGGTATCGTGGGACCGGCCATAGACGTGTTGGTATCAGACAACTTTGCGGAAAAGATTCTAGAGTACGATGACAGTTCTTTCGCCCGGGGAACAAATGGTGGCAATGACGAACTGAATGAACATCTTTCAAAGCTTGATGGGCTGCATCTGCATAGCAAGGCATTCTATCGTGAAAGAGCACTTTGCCCAGGAGACGTTCTGCGTTTTTACATGAAGGAAAAAAAGCTGCGCGACTGGCTCGATACTTTTACTACTCTCCTCACCGAACCGAAGCTGCTTCCGCCCATTCGAACAGGCTTCCATGAAGATCAGATACAAACATTTATCCTTGCTCATGCTGTGCAAATCCTACTTTTTGCCCCCATACAGTGGCATCAAGGTGCAAGATATAAGTGCACGGACTCTTATTCTCGTCGGTTTCCGCTTGGATACCCCGAATCAGGTCCGGATGATATAACAGTCTGTGGCAAGTATAGTCCGACGACCTGCACCGAGCTGTCCTTCTCGTGTTCTTTCTTGTTCAACAGCGGCCTGGAAAAGGCGAAGACCCTTTTGTCTCCCAAAGATCTGAGATCTGGCTAGGATACACTACAGTTCGTTGCCACTATCCCTGGAATAAAGCTACCAACTGTTCACCAGTAGAGCCCTTTGCCTTCCAGAAGCTCCCTCGAGAAATACAACTCTATATTATCGAACTCGCAACTTCACCCAAGGTCACGCCAACTGTAGAAGGGGGGGTTAGATGGCTGCGAGCCTTCAGCAAGATTCGGTGTACATCCGAAGACTCACTTCTAGCTCTGAAGTTGTCGTCTCGGGGCTTGTATCACCTGGTAAAGACTGCGAACTCAGTTGAAGCTATTTGCAACTGGCATGACTCTCGCCAATGCCCGCCTGTTATTTTCCGCATGAATTTAGAGACAGACACATTGCGAGTATTCCAAATTCATAGGAGACTTCCAAAATATAAGGATATACATAGCTTTACTGCGCCACTCCCCTTGCGCAGGCTGCTCTTGATCGAGTCCAGATACGGTTATTACAGCACCGAGGAAAGCCTCGAGACTTTCTGCAGCTCCAGCGTGGCCTGCTTTCCGGGTTTGATGCTCGACACGCTTCCAAAGTTAGAGGAGTATTGTTTGATACTTCCAGCAGTAAGCCATCGCTGGATGATGGACGGGCTTCCGCAAATTAGACCTCAAGACGGCAACAACACTCCAACGCATATCGGCACCAAGTGGCAATTCAACCTTCACCGCTACTACAACATGTATCAGGCTGGGAACGAAGTGCCAGAGGGGTACCAAATGGGGGTTCCACCTAGCTTTTGTGACGACAGCCACCTCGACGGTACTGACCCTTCCGACCGTGTCGGGAGCATCCCGTATATCGGAGAACACGGATATGAGCGAAGCCACGGCATAGTTGGTGGGCTCTGGGCTGGATTTAAATACTTCCAAGAAAGCAAGGAAGCTTACTTTGCGCCCCTCTCATGGACCGAAGTTGAGCCCCTGGTCATGGGTGACTATGGAGAGAATGGGACTAGAGCCCTTTTTCACAACCACACTCCGCAGTTTGTATCTAAAGTCTGGATTGTGCGACAGGGTACGGCGGCTCCAAAGGGGTGGATAAAGGTACAGGATGCAGATGAATCAGATCCCGCCTGGAGACACCAACTATTGAAAACATGGAACGCTGTGCGCTACACGTTACATAACATCCAGAACTCACATGTGGGTTACCATTACACCCTCTGTCAGAGATAGATATTGTCTCGAAAGCTCAGGAACACGTTGCCGAACCACCTTGTTTTCTTTACTGCTGTCCCGCCTTGAATGGAATGGGTGTCTACAGGGCTGATTGAATAAGAACCTGGCTATCACGAGGTTCTGTAGCTATAGGGCTTGACAAGTTGAAATGCCCAGAGCATATCTAGTTGACAGTCTGGACAGTGCATAGTATTGATATAGGTATAAACAAGAAAAGCAAAAAGAAATGTCTGTAGAGCTTCGCTACCTGTAAACTCAATCATGGTGATAACATGTAGTGTTCAAGTATTTTGAAGAGACCCCTTTTCACATCATATGGAGAATTAGATATTTCTCAGTAAATAATGGGCGTCAGTTCGGACCCGCCATACATGACTCGTATTCGACCGGCAAGGACTTGTCAATCCTTCCAAGAGCGGGATGAAAGCACGTTGGGATAGAAGGACAGAGGTAAAGCGCAGGCAAGGCGTGATCTTACAACGGCGAGTCAGATAATGAACATGCTTATACAAGAGTCGGCTTATTACACCAGCTGCAGACCAAAGACATTGCTTCCAACTATCTGTGCTGTGAAGAAGATGAAGAGAGATCATTCTGGCAAACTGGTACTTTCTTTGCGTTTGTTCCTAAGCCTATTGTCTTTGTCCAATGCCATGTACATACCATATGATTAGAACACCGCCGCCCCTTTCTTCTTCGCCTGTATACCGTTGTTGATTTGCTACACTTCCATGTGGTTCAGTCCGTGCCAGCTTATAATGAGGTTGGGAGGTCGTTTCACGCATCTCAAATCTCTCCGTCGGCCCCTACCTTCTTGGACCATGTTGATGGTGACTGACTAGGCATAGTCCATGTCGGTCCCAGTGGCACTGAAGTCGACAGGATTGTCTTCCAGTGCTCCTTGATGTTCATCGACAAATACACGTGGGGCCCTCTGACTGGGCAGAGGTCAATGCAGTGCTCGACCACGTTCACCCGGCCGGGGAGGAAGACTGCGGTATTTGAACCGCTTTCATACCCGCTAGAAGCATTGGCGGAGGCTAGCAGGTGTGCCATAGAATCTGTACAGGCGCACAGAGCCAGTGGAAATCGAAAGTTCGACGTTGCCTGCCTGGTCACAGCGTTATTAGGGCTCGGAGTCTCTGTCACTGAGAGTGGAGGGGCCGGAGTGTCGATCGAAAGGGCATCAGCTACTGTTTCATTGCTCATAATAAACAATCGTAGCGCATGGCCGAAAGACATCCCCTGTGGGTTCCATTTACCGGGCTTCCTTACCTCTCCCTCCTTTTCTCCCCACTAAATGTTTCCCTCCTCCTCCTCCTCATCCTCAATCTTCGTCTCACCACCCCTCAGCCTCATCTTCAATCACTCACCTCTCCGACCACTCGACCACTCATACCATCTGTGGTCTTCCACCGTCTCCGTGACCAATACCGCTGTTATTCAATATTCCGAATCAACCTCGCAGTCATCTCGTGTCCCAAACCATTTCCTTCTACTCAGTCTATCAACCCCGCGTCTTCCCATAGCCCATACCATTGCCACTCAACATCACGACTCAGCTATCGCGTTCCTCTTCGAGGGAACTTAATGTGATTTTGACTGTGTTTAATTATGTCACGTGTGACTTCGTCAGTGGCCACGAGGCCGGCTTCTTATACCCCAGCAGCTGCCAATAAGGTTACTGATTGAGTCATCATAAAAGCATATTATTCTGATTTTAATTGGGAGACTTATCTTTGTGGAGGCTATACGTATATTGCCTTTAGAAGCCTAAAGTTAATTGGTATTTTTTAGTGTGTTAGCTTGATATATCTCGTTGAGATATCATAAGCTTTAACTATCAATCAGCTATCGCGTCATATCGTCTCTCTCACACCCCGAAGTGCACAAGCCATCCAGATCTACCTTTTTAAACGTCACAATATCCTGGGCTCTTGTACAACCACATTAGGTACGATCCTGTAACTAAGTCGCAACTTGAAGCACAAAAGCTAACCGCTAAACCCTCAAGACTCTTACTTCAGAAGCCACTCGACAAGCACATTTATATTCACGTTCCTCCCACGGAGCATCCACAGGATGGATGCAGATGTTGTGAAAAATGGCAGCATTGCCCGCCAGAACCGGGAGCTTGCGGAGTGGCATCGCAACGCCGACTACTCTATCTTGCATCCTCCAAACGTCAAGATACCATGGTCTATTACAGATAGGTCAACATGGTCAGAGATAAGGAGAGTACCAGCAGGCCTTCGGGTGTTGGAAACTCAAGCCGACAAACCCAACGGCAGATTATCTGTGACATGTGCAGCCAAATATTTGTCTTTCAAAAGCGAGGCAGATTTCCTCTCGTATGTGGAAGTTGTTGTACCAGATATTGTTGGACCAGCGAATTATGTTTTGCACGGCGATAGTTTCAGCTACAAGGACAGGATCAATGCTTATTCCAATACCCCATTCGCCTTGCATCCGAGCACCCAGAACCAAGGCCTTATTGACCACATTCAGAATCAGAATGTAGATGATGTCATGGAGCACTCACCAAGAAACAGGACTCTAGGTAGTTGCAACTACAAGCCAAAATCTCTTCTTGGTTTCTTTCGAGAGAACGCTGCTGTGCGCGAATGGCTCACGACTTTGGCTACACTTCTTACCGAACCAAAGCTTATCCCGACCTATGTCCCGATCCGCCCTGGAACTGTCTCTGATTGTGAGGATAAACTTTGCAGAGAGTTATTTATACTTGCTCATGCTGTGCAAGTCATGCTCTTCGCTACAGTCTATTGGCGTGAGGATGGATCCTACAAGTCTACTGACCCATATGCCCGACGCTCCCCTCTTGGTTTTCCCGCACCGAACTCGAACGATGAGAAAGCGTTTGGTTAATATACTCTTGATGATCTGTATCGGGCCCTCATTCTCCAGGAATTCCTTTTTCATCAGACATGGGATAGGAAGGAGGAGCGTCGATGCAAGAATCTTCTCCGGACAAGTCCTCCCAAAGCTGATGCTCCGTGGTTGGGATACTCCGTGGGTCGGTCTGAGCCCCCTTGAGTTGAAGATAGTAGAGTTTCAGCAGCTGACTGCTCTTTTATCATGAGGCTACCACGAAAAATACAACTCCGAATCGTTGAGCTAGCAATCCCACAGAAGGTTACACCACGCCTACTAAATCGACCTAAAGACAGACGAAGATATTCAAGAGTACAGTCGACATGGGAAGATTCAGTCCTGGCACTCAAGTTGTCATCCCGAATGATGCACAAGTTAGCCGTCGCTGAGCAAAACGTCCAGGGAGTTGTCGACCAGCGTGTTACATTACGAATGAACCTGGACATTGACACACTGCGAGTATTCGACATGAGTCTCCCAGACTTTCTCACTGCCAATGGTGTATCTGCGCTTCCCGTACGAAAGCTGCTCTCGATTTCGAAGATATCCGCCGAGGATTGTGGCACTTTACATGATCCTATGTGGCGTTGCAAAATCCCTATTGGCAAAGCCCTGGATCTTGAGAAGCTCCCAAAGCTCGATGAATTCTCTGTCATATTACCCAGTGTTCCTGAGAGTTGGATGATAGAGGATCTTCCCCGTGTCAAAGCTCAGACTGACGTCTCAGGTGCAGCTCATACTGGCATCAAATGGCAATTCAACACTGGTCTGTATCCAGTACCCCGCTGGGAAGGACAACTCCATGACAGCCACTTCAACGGCTCAGAGATACCATCCATACATCCGAATGCTCCTATTCCCGACGAAGCCATACCATATGTGGGTAAATGGGGATATGAGCGCAGTCCTGGGGCCGTTGGAGGCTATTGGGCCAGCTTCCAGTACTTCGAAAAGACCAGGGATGTATACTTGGCCCATCTTTCATGGAAGGAAGTTGAGTCTCTAGTTAAGGGTCCCTTTGGAAAAAATGGACGCGAAGCCATTTACGAAGACCATACGCCGAGGTTTGTGGCAAAGCTCCAAATTATCCGGCAGGGAACCATTCCCCCCCCCCCCTACTGGATGGATCAAAGTGGAGCAATTACGCCGAGATGATCCCAAGTGGAAACACCAATTGCTGAGCACATGGAAGAGTGTTTGGTACACTCTGGTTGATTATAGGACAGTATGCACTACTATAATGTCATCACGTAAGTCCTGTGACTACTTTCTACGTCAGACACAAGAGAAACACCATCAAAAGGGTGACGGAAACAGATGAAGGATGAGATGTCTGTATCTGTTTTGTGGGTAGCACGTATGGCTGTTTGTTGTCGGTTTTATCCGGGGAGAAGGCCGCACGAGGAGCCAGGGATTTCAGGCTCCAAGAATTCTCCGCGAGGTCCGGGCAGATGATTTACAAGTATTATCATGGTCTCAGAGACCCAGAAAAGTAAAAAGGAAAAAAAGTATTATTATCACATTAGGTGCCTGTGAATGCCGACTAACGATAGTGAAAACCCAACTACATTCATGTTCAGGGTCTTGCTGCGTTTAATACCCTCGTGATATTAAGGTCTGGCTCAGTGTAGATGAAGATATGTGAAAGTGAAGACCACTATTTTAGAACATTGATCGTAAAGTATTTGTTAGAGAGTATTGATTCATGTCCTGGATCACATACTTAATGAAACACAAGAGTCAAGGCCAGCGATGCTGACCAAACACTTCAACCCTCAGTCAGTAACTCTGCATGCCGAAGCTCGTTAGAAACTAATGACAGATTCTATTTCCAGGTGGTGCTGATCCGTTTAGCAAAGACCAGCCTTTGTAGGCTCACAAGCGCCGTTGCCCTTATCACAACCATTGTAGCCTTGACATTGGACTTTGGGGTAGCAGTTGTTAGAGTAAGTGGCCTATAATACATTAGTCACTTGGTTAATGCCGGATCAAGATGCCTACCTTGTCACCCAAGTTGGTGTTGATGCCCATCAACTCCCCACCGTTAACAGCAGTAGTACCCTCCATATGCACGGAGCGTCGACAGTTACCCTTGCAGTTGCCGCAAGACCTGTAAACCTTGCCGTAATCATTGGCATAGAAGTTGATAATGTTCACGTGTCCACAGCCGTTATGCTGAATGATCTTATCAGCGGCTTTGTAGGCACCACCGCCGATAATGTTGGCTGTGCCGCCGCCCTTGATGGAGATGGCATCCTCGCAAACGTCCTCGAACCAAACAAATTCAAGGGTACAGGATCCAAGGCAGTACACGCCTTCACGTTGATTGGCGCCGATGATGACATTTCGCAGTTTGGCCCCATCTTCAAGGACAAAAACAGTGTCCTTCTCACCTGGAGGATAAAATTAGTGAAGGTCAGGGGATTGTTGATGCTATTGTGACTTACCTCCTTCAGCCTGACCTGTACACTTCACCCCACGGTCATATTTTACCCAACCAGCATCAAAGGTCTGGCCTTTCTTGATATACTGAGGAGATCCGAGAGTTTTAGTTCCTGTATGCTTGGGAAGGCCCCCAGTATAGCCCTTACAGGCCAGGACCGATGGCAAGGCTGTAAGAAGAGTGATTGCGCTGGGGAAATGCATGATGAATGTTGTTGAAGTCGGCTCCCTGTTGTAAACCATTGAATAGATATCAACAAGGCATGTCGCGAGCCTTTATACTTTTCACCAGCCTGTCTAGAAATGTTTTCTCACTATTCCATGATGCCAAGTTTAAGTGCATGCATGATTCCCTGCAATTCCCAGCGTTGCATGCGGGGGCGCTGTCCAGGTGGTATCCAGGTGATCACAGTCATTAATTCCTCCAGTCATATCAAATGTCGACGGAAAAGGGGACTATTACCAAGACCAGAGTGTGTCAGTATCAAGCGGCCATTGGTGGAAGTCAGTCTTTGCTGGAAGTCACCACGATCAAGCTTGTCTTTATGCTTGAAAAGGCTCCGAGGCTCCGGGAATTCTGATTTCTGCATTAGACAGGTCTCTGTAGTTGAGTACTCCCACAAGGGCTTTGGGTACGAACGTAGGTGATGGATGAGGACACTCAAAGGTTCCTATTCAACAACTAAATATTGTCTGAGTATGATAGGCGCGCTTACGGCGAATGCTGTCTCTTGGAAAGACTGCTTATACACGAGTAAGCCTCTTGTTCAGCAAGCGGCCGAATTAGCAGCCGCTCACACGACCCTTAAGTCCAATGAGCTACTTTGCGACCGTACTTCAACGCTGAGACCAAATCCGAACAGAACAGCTACTACAACTCCTCTAGACAAGCAGAGTTGGGGCTATCAAGCTCTGGGGTCGGTTCCATATCCGAGGGGACATGAGTGTACAACGACTCACAGTTACTTGAACATAACTTTAATACAATGGGCAGCTAAATCAGTCAATGAACAAAAGCTCCTTAGCGTGGAACAGTGGTGGGCGGCCTCACGGCAAGGCAATTCCACTAGAAGCCCCAGTTTCATTCCGCAACTATGTAGCTGATTGCCTGCATCACCCTTGCAAACGGGTTACCTCGACCACTTTTCGTAGACTGGCACCCCTTTGGGAAGATTTACTTCCGGGCCGTCAAGTTCAAGATTGGACCAGTCCCGAAAGGATACCTCAAATGAGTGATTTTCTGTTCCGCTGTAGACCGGCATGTCTGTTTAGTCTTTGACAAGGGGGGAGAAAAGAGGATAATTCACGCTTGAGAAGCTTGAAAATTCTGATCTGGGGATTGGACTACAGTGGCAGAGGGAAATTTTCCAAGAGATCAAATATCACAATGGTATTCCATGGGGTTTGGCCAAAGTAGACATTGCCAGAATATACGTTCAATGGGCTTCTAGCACCACAAAGAAATCTTCAGCTTTTCTCTACTCTCTTCAACTCAACCTTAGGCTCCCGGAAGCCTAATTCACGTGGTGACTATGCTGCGTCACCGAACATCACTTGGATCGTTGGGCTCATTGTCCTGCTTTACCTACAACCGACACCCTGAATCTTCCATTGGGCATTCGCAGCTCCATGAACATCGAGCCGGGACCTTTGTCTCACCGAGGCTAACCTCGAAGCTTGAAAACCCGGTAGCTTCTATAGACTTCCAGTCGGGACTCTGCAGACAAGAAGTTCGCATCTTTGTGTCACCTGGTGCTTATACGTGGCTCCTCCCGGGTCAAGGCTAGGTATGACGAGCCGAAACATGATCTGGCACATCTCATCAATGAGTCAGAGGGTGTTGTGTTGAGATATGTGCCCGAGGCCCACACATCCCTTCTGTATGTAGCCTGCCCGCTTGGGCCCCTCCCTAGCTATCTTCCCTCAGACACACAACAGACCTCGCATTAACAACGTTCTGTGGCCTTCAGCGTCCCGCAAACGAGTTTTATCTTCCAAGTTCCATTACAGCAGCGGATTAGGAGGGCCCGAGTTGCTCTCTTTGACATCCTGAACATTGTTCTGTTCGTATTTCTTTTTTAAGCTCCAACTTCTCTGTGCTGCTTTAACCTCACAGCCACAAATCCCGCTGCGAAAACACATCCGGCTCACAACTCCAATGGCTGCCAATAAGATATCGGATCAACGCTATGCGGAGATTATACAGGTCGTTGGTCAGCCTTCGAATCGTAAGAAGCCCCCCTGCTGATAGCAGCTCCCGTTTACTAACATGGCCGGCAGGATCTCCGGGTAAATATATCGAGAGGCTAGAAAGAAAAACTAGCAGGGACAACAGCTTGATTCCCTTTTTGGAGAGAGCATCGGCTATAGATATCGAATACCCGCTCCAGTCACCAAAAGAATGGCCTCAGAAGCTTACTCCAGCAAATTCCGCAGATCCTGTCGGTATCACGAACTTAAGCTATGCCTTGACTGCCGATAACGTGGATGACTTCGACCTAGTCACTAACAGCGAAGTTACCTTTACCGTCTCTGCATTTCCTGGAGCATTGAGCTTGCATCCTGAGCCAACCAAGAAGCCTAGCGCTCACTCAGCCCTCGTATCTCTTAGCATTGAGCTCGAGGATCCCATCACTCCTCGCCTAGGACACCGCCAATCCCAACCCCTACCGTCTCTTGTATTGCCCATCGGGCAACTGCAAAAGGGTTTCATGACAGCGCGCGGCATTCCGCAATACATCGACACTGATTACATCCTGGTTGTTGATGCTGCTGGAACTTCACATGCTGTTTGGCTAATCTACGACCGATATCAAAAATTTGACGAGGAGTTCAAGGATGTCACCGACCCAAAGGGGGCTCCTTTGGTCTTTGTCGAGCTGGGAAAGAACTTTGATGCTGCTCAAGTTTTCCCAAGTATCAAAGATTGGATTGAAGCTCATGGAACGCTGAGTTCAGCCCAATTTCAGGAATCGATCAAGAAGACAGGAATAGTAGAAGAAGTCAAGGTCAGGAACACAACATCAGAGGATCTCGCGGCTCTGGAGAACAAATAGGCTGTTTTCATGGCGATGAAATCTTTCTTCCAGGACGATGGAGAGCCATAGGATCAGACAGATGTTGATCATGTCCTGATGAACGGTCACTTGATGGACAAAGCCCTGCGGCGCATTCCATAGGTAGAGACAAATTGATCCAAGCGTGTTCTCTTCCTGATCAGATGTTCCGTTGGTTTCCCAGGACACACGTTTGGGAGAGACTTAAAAGAACACCTCTTGGACGTCAATTGAGCTAGAAGTGTTATTTGCCGCTGAGACCTGTGGCTGAGAGCGTAATCCAGCCGGGAGAACCCAGTAGTTATCCACCACTTTAGCCACTTCAAGCTCCCTGGACATCCGTGATCTCTCATTGAATATTCGGGACCTTGTGAGTCGCGGTAGCAGTCTCTTTTGTCCCCAAGTCAACTCCTAATCTAGACACCTTCTTTGAACTTCTCTGACTTTCGGGGTCTTTCCTTCGGTCATTCAGAACTCGGTAGAAAGCAAGGTGAATGTCTCGTGTACCCACGTGCCCGCTTGTGGCCCCACCCAAGGCCAGGTCGAAAACGAGCTGATGCAGTGACCAAGTACTTTTCACATCTCAGCCCTCTCATTCTCGACTTCATGCTTCCCGCATCCTCCAGCGGCAGCACAGAGAGCTTTTCTGCCAGTAACTTTTATTTGGGCCACTGTCCTATGCCTATCTTGCATCGCCTATCCAGCCAGACTGACCTATGACCCAATCGACCTTCCAACATCAAGATCGTCTCCTTCTTCTTCAACTATTCATCAACAACTGAAGATTAAGTGTTGCGTTCATCGAGACGTTTTACATTCTCATGGATGCCAAAATGACTTCCGATGACGGCGATGAGGAGATTGAAATCCTTATCGAAGACCCTGATTTTGCGTGCCCCAGACGTGTCCCCGATGACCCTTTGGAGAGCGGTAAGTTTCCGTCAATATTCTGCAACAAGTCCCATTCGCTAATACTTTAACGAAGCCCGCCGTGCCGCCTGCTTCGAGATGCTGAAGAACGGAACTGGAGAAGGCAGCAGCCTGTCAGACATGATGGCCCCCCGTCAGACACCAAAGGAATGGCTTCAGAGTCTCACCACAGTTGACTTTGCAGACCCTTCTGCTATCGTCAGCCTTCGCCTGGACTTGGCCACCAATAACGTCGCACACTTCGATCTGGTTACCGACGGCGAAGCTATCTTGACTGTGACACCACTCCCTGGAGCTCTGACTGTGGATGATATACCACCTAAAGATGATGAGGCTATTTTCTCTTCATATGTTCCCAGCGATCATCCGGGCCTGTTGCGTCTTGAGTATGCCCGTGAGAAGGATATATTTACTGTTTACGGCCTCCACGAACCTCCCAAACCATCAGCAGCTGGCCTACCTCTTCCTTCTGTCGTACTGCCGATCGGACGGTTACGGAACCGATACAAGGACAAGGCCGGCATCTACTCAATCGATACTGACTACGTCCTCGTCGTCGATGCCGTTGCGGATGAGCACCCTCTTTGGCTAATTTTTGATCGGAAGATTAGAAGTTACGAGGAAGGTGGGGCCTACGTCAGACCAGAGACAGTCAAGCTTTTATTCAGCGGGACAGAGAAGAATTTTGATGCAGCCCAGGTGTTGCCAAGCATCCAAGACTGGATCAGATCCTATGGCAGCCTCGACCTCACGCAACTCCGGGATTCGTTCCAACGGACCAGAATGACAGGAGAAATCAGGGCTAGAAACGTGACTTTCGGGGATCTTCCTGCGTCTTGGAACAGAGTCACTTCTGGCTATGAGCACAGATAGATCACCTCTGTAGTCATTTTTTCTGTATCACAGTGCACCACAGAGCCATGGGGACAAGGAGAGTGGGTGCCGGCTGGAGAATGTTATGGCTTACGAAGCCTTTCGCCGCACTTACATAGTTAGGGATAAATTAAGCTGAATGTGTTCTCTTTGACAAACACCTAGCCTCTATGTGCATGTTCTCATCTACTCCCCATTAAATATCGTTCAATTGTCCAAAAGACTGCACTCGTTGAACAGGTGAACATCTCCAAACATCCATGCACCATCCATCACTTTCGCATTTGTCGCAGCTGAAAACAACGTCAGCATGAGAGAAACCTTCAGAAACAAGTTTTGGGGCAAGATCCAGGTAACTGACAGTGTAACGGACGATATTGACACCCCCTATTCCGATATCAGAGTATGTGCCACTGGCGTCGAAACAAGCAACGCATAGCTTGATCGACCGCCACTGTTGATTCACCGGCCTTCCATCCTGTGTGACACTGGTAAACCGTCCCCATACCCAATACATCGAGGGCGTGGCCCAAAGTCTCCCCGATCCACAAACTCACCAACTTCCATACACTCGCCCTCCCATCATCATCATACCAGACAATACTTTCGCAGCCACCGAAGCCCTCCAACCAAATATCCATCCAACCATATCCCAAGATGGACGCCACTGAGCTTTCCGACGATCGCGTTGCGGAGATTCAGAAAGCAGTTGGCAATCCTTGGACTAGTAAGTACCCTCCCAAGTACATTTCCCGAACTGCATTCAGCTGATCCTATTACCTCAGTGTCTCCAGACGAGTACTCGGCGAAGTTGAAACACGAAACTGGCAGTGACGAAATGCTCGATCAGTTTCTAGAGAAAGCATGCAAGTTGGACAGAGAATCGCCTCGTCGTTCAGCCGAGGATTGGCTCAAGCAGCTTGCTGCTATGGACTTTAGGAATGTCGGTCCTATTTCTAAGCATCACTTTGGCTTGACTATCGATAGGGTGGACAGATTTGATCTCGGCACCGATGGCGAGGATACGTTTGCAGTCGCAACAAATTCTGAGGCTCTGTGGACGCAGGAGGCGGAGCTCTCACCACTATCACCCTCTGCAGACATTGAGTCTGGCGACTATCATGCCCATCCTGCGTTGATCTCTCTGCAGAAGATTGAATCCTCCCCTTCTCGCCTTGGTCCGGAGCCTTCCAACACTGGTACACTCACAGCCTCTGGCAAACAGCTTCCTTCTCTAGTCATGCCCATCGGGCAGCTACAGATGAAGTCTAAGGAAGAGACGGATGAAGACTATGTCGACACTGAATATGTCCTCGTCATTGATGCCACCAAGACTAACCATCCTGTCTGGCTGATCTATGACCGAAACGCGTGCGATGACTTGGGTGACCGACGCCTCATCGATCCTGATCAGGAGCCCGTGGTCTTCGAGAAACTTGGAAAGAACTTTGATGCTATGCAGGTTATGCCAAGCCTCCAATGGTGGATTCTCTACTACGGAAAGCTCGACTTCGCTAAGATGCTGAAGTCGATGCAGGCAACAGGCATCACAGGACCAATCCAGGCTAAGGAGCTTTCCCTCTCGGAGGCTAAGAAGATTCTTGGGTAGTATATGTCTTCTACATTTGGGCTTTTGTGTACATGAGAGAGCGGTCGCAGCAGGGAAAATGATGGATCGGGCCGTAGAAGCACGACGTCTTGGTGGAATTGTATCGCGATCCACTCTCCTTGAGAGACAGAATCATCTCCCCTCAGTTTTTACGGCACAGGCTTAGTGTCCATGTACTTAGCTCTAGCTAGTCCTTGCAATCCCAGTCGATCCAGCGGCCCATTGTACCTCTGCCCGAGTCTACCAAGTGAAAGTGTCCTCAGATCCAGACCCTGTCGTGTTACTTGCACTTTCACAGCTAGCAGGTACGCTATCACCAACCAATTCGGGTGACAAGTCCAGGAGTAAGCTTTGATCACTTTTGCGTACGCCTAGTTGATGCTACTGGCTTTGCTATGGATCCCGTGAGCGCCATGTTCAAACCTGGCAATGCAAGCAGCTTCACCGATCAACACATTCATCAAGTCTGGCGTGTTGGGCCAACTCAATCGTGTAACCCCCAAAAGTAATACCCGCATCAAATTCACTCGTTGCGCGATCATAAGCCCCTCTCCGAAGCCTTGTTTCAATTAAAGCCATGCGGGCGACACGGTAAATGTTACAGTGCGCCTGAGTCAACGTGGCGCAACTGACGAGTAGGACAGACAGCCCTCAATCTGAGTTCTGACGGGCATTTAGCGTTCTTTTCTCTCTGAAACAGTCGCCAAAGACTACAAGATTTTACATCCATCGGAGTTCATTTACGAAAAGTTCCTGGTGCATTTGGGCTGAAGCTGAGCACTGAGCCTGTAACTATGACTTGTCGCGGTGGCTTGGCTCGAGGCTGGCTTCACGTATGCATAACTTCCCCTTTAGCTGACTGATCAACATCATTGTCGTCATCGACTTTCTCGCCAGTATCTGGGCTGCCAGTCAGGAGAAGGGAATAAATGAAGCCACCACCATCGCTGTCCTCTCCCCCACGGGGCAACCAAAAACTAACCAGCCATAGAGATAACGAAGGCATTCTCATAATTATGCGCGGTGATTGTATCACCATGGAGTAACTTTTAAGCAGGATCGTGCTCATGCTCACACGGAACGACAACTCCCCGAGCGCCTGTGCGGCGTTCATCCTCAACGGCAATGGTGCAAAAGGGGGAAAAGTTGTCAGTTGACTAGGGAACGTTTACAGCCTGCCTTGAAACTCCGCCACCGTGAAAGGGCTTGCCAGACCTGTCCCGTATCTCACCGGGCTGGGGTTGCTCAGCGTCAGTTGTAGCGGTCTGGAACAGGCTTTGGGGTCGTTGTCTCGACGGTCGACCGCGCAGACTCGGAGCTGCTATCATAACGGAAACCCGACGTGGCTTCGACCGGGCCGGCATCGATTTCGTCGCTCACGGGCGCCTGCGTCTTCGTGGGTTGAGGACCCTCGGCGACAGGTCCAGTTGTTGGGCTTAGATCAGATACATCGGTATCATTCGTTCAGTCGGGGTTGTCGGGCGCCTGGATCGGAGTCTGGCTTGAGACTTGTGAGCTTCGGTGATGACACCTTGTACTTTGCTAATATACAGTCAGCCGGTCCGGGAGCCAAAGCCTGCTTTGATGGGCGTACCAACCGGAGGAATTATTGCTTCTCTCGCGGTATCCGGCTCGTCAAGGGCGCCTCACTCGGTGATTGTAGCTCGAATGGGTATCTGCGGTAGATGCCTAATTGCCGTTGGGTAGGGAAATGTCAAGGATGAACTTGAATACAGTGCCATCACGGCTGGCGGTGGATGATGCCTCGTGCTCCCGCGATTCGACTGCCTCTGTGACTGAACTACTCCTGCGATTGAACTGCCCGCTCCCGCGATTAGACTGCCCCTAGGATTAGACTCCTCCTGCAATCAATGCCACTGTAACTGAACTGCTCCTGCGATTAGTGCCACTGTAGCTGAACTGCTCTTGCGATTAGTTCACTGTAACTGAACTGCTCCCGCGATTAAACTCCCCACGCGATTAAATAGCTGATGGAACATAGGTACAGTGGCTCCAGCACTAGGCTTTCACGATGGAGCCATGGGAAGCAACGTAATGACTTAACAGCAAGGCAGGTCGAGCACAATTGATGAGCAAGTATTGAAATAGCGGATAAAAGCACAAATATTGTAAAGTCTCATGAACAATGACAGATTCAGGGGCAAAGTCGTGAACAAGAGAATTGAAGTGCTATCGAGGAACGCCAAGCTCAGGGCACGACCAGCGATGTCACTTATTTTAATGATGTGAGGGCCTGAAGGATGGAGAGGATTACACCCCGTGAAGCTTTGACGTACGCGTGGGAGCTGTTCACTGAACGGCTGTGAACATCGGCAACAATTTAGACAAGAATACTCAAGATCCCTATTTCACCCTAAATCTACAGTTGACCAAAATTATAGCCTTCAAAAAGGTCAGTATGCAGTCTTCAGATTATCCAATGGATGGAGGCGGAGGGATTGAAATGGCACGTAAACGCGATCCTAGTCTCGCCAGGTTCAGCGAACCCAAATTCAGTGCCGGCATTTCTACTGAATTACCCGCTAATTCTTCAGTGCTCGCTTGAACATTGCAGGGCCTTCAAGGCGCGCCAGACTGGTTTACGGGGCATGTTCAAGGGAGGGCGATAGTTGAGTCCAGTATACCTCGACCCGAACTTCGCTATAACGCTCAACTATGACATGGAGGGTCCCTTTCACAATGTTCCATACCGAAGACGGTAAACATTTGTATCACAGTCTCTTGAAATGTCCCTGGCCATCAAGCAGGAGTCTCATCTTTTGTTTGTTTATTAATTTTAAATGGTTACTCATTGTTGCTTCGCTCTCTCCCTCAACACTGCTGGTCTTAGTCATGCTAGGCTGGCTCTCGGGACCGTTGATAGGCGCATTGCTAGATGATCTAGAGCTGGATCTTTACGAGAGCTATAATATACATAAACATCGTCAAAGGTCTATAAACGTCTCTCGTAGTATGACTGCTGCAAGAAAATAGAGTCTTGAGATTGTAGCCCAAGCAGATCTTAGTGAGAAGGAGGGTCCCCGAAAATGGGCGGTCACATTCGAGGCACTCTGCGCTCTCTTCAGACAGTGAGACCTCGCGAACTACTCGCAATGTTCATGGCAAGTCGACTCCTGGTATTTGAATGCATAAAAGTGGTTATCGGCAAATAGGAGCCTCTTGGGCAAGCTCGTTACCTTTCTGCCACCTCATCAGAGCATACTTCCCAAAGAATCTAACTCGAACCTGAAAAGGTCCCCTTGTGCGAAGCCCAAGTTTATGTGTACCGACGAACACATTTAGGACATTTGACAAGAGTTCTCTAGTCATCAAGATTTCTGATAGGGTAATCACTGCGCGCACAGGGCTTTCTTAGGTTCTATGATTATTGATGGTAGGGGGAGTTGGGTCTATGGGTCTAGTTGCAATTGTAAGAAGCCTGGGACAACTATCGTCTGCACATACGGGAGAGCCGCTGCTGCTTACTGAGATAGAGGTCTCCTGTTCCATTCTTTGACAGGGCGTCTGGCAAAAGTCTCATGGGATCTACGCCGCTCGAGGGGCTCAGGAAAGTTACTACTAAGGAAACTGATGCAATGAACTGGAATGCTTCAGATCTCTCCGTCATCACGATCCACGGGATCGCACTAGGCTGGCAGCAAGGAATTCAATCATACAACTGTTTCCGTTGATCACACTATGGCTGCGAGATCATGAAAGCAGCGTTAATTCGATGGTTCAGTCACTGAGGCTAAAATGTTCTCCCTATTCAGAGACAAGAGCTGGGATGCGTGTCAGCTCTGAGAATGAACAGAAGATGTGGCTACTCGGGCGATCAAACCAGAAACATTCCTATTGAAACTACCCTGCAATGGTATAGAGAAGTACTGGCACTTGGCCATGATTCCTTTCACGATGCATCTCGATGATAGGGTTGAGTGGCTACACGGCCGTTGTGAAGTTCCCAGTGGACCAGATGGGACGTACACTGCTACCAAGCCTGGGCAGTATCTGCCGAAATTGTTACTTCCTTGATCAGATTGATCTTATATTATCGTCTAGACCAGCTTTGGTTAAAGCTGTCTGTTCTTGCAATATATACGATATCATCAAACACTTTAAACAACTCTCCAAGATCTTTCATAATCGGCTCAACGACTTGCCAAAACCAGGATGCTAGTAAAAACCCCTCAGTGTTGTTTCAATAGTCAGATGTCATCCGTATTCTGAGAACTTCGAGTCAAGATGAAGCTTCGAGGTAGCAGCAAGGTCTCAATGGGAAGGCAGCCCACTCTCAAGAAGTATTAGAGTCCCGAAACATATATTTGGCCCCCGGCCGTGATAATTAGGTTCAAACACGAGAGTAGGGTTGTGGGTTCTCATTATTTCTTGAAGATGTAGTGCAATAGGTAGATATCTCAGGGCGTCTCCGATATCTACATGAACATCTATATGTCGAATGGCTTGAGATAGAAAACAGCGGCAATTAGCTTTTCGATCCTTCAGGTCTTTCAAAAGCTACTAGACTACAGTTTTTGTAATATCTTGGGTAGTTTTTCTCTTTTCTTTGAAAGGTTTACATTGAAGTGATGTCTGAAGTTCAGGGTGGATGGAGTGAAGTCGAGTCGTTTCGTAGTTACTCGACAGCGATTGGTCTGCTCGCTGTTGCTTCCCAATGCAGTTAGTGCTGATCTTCCACTCTGAACTTTGACGGATCACTAGCGCCATGCGACTCAATCCTTCGAACAAGTCACCTCTTTGCCTGTTCATTCGTCAGTTCGGCATTCATCCTCTTTCAAACTTCGCACGATCCCAGATACATCAGAATATTCACAATGACCACTTCCAAACCCGCGTCCCGAGGCCGAACCAAGGTGAAGACGGGTTGCGCAACATGCCGGTCAGTCCAGACTCCACCATCACATTCTAGCAAGGATCATACTTACCGAATGTAGAATCAGAAAGATCAAATGCGACGAGGCCAAGCCCTTTTGCGAGAAGTGTGTCAAGACTGGGCGCAAATGTGATGGTTACGAGTCTGTCTTTAGGCCATTCTCCAGCACGCCCCAGCCCATCGGCAAGCCAGATGCTTCAGCTTCAAGGCATGATCACGCCGAAGGGAAACCTCCACTGAGCACTGGCGATCTCAATCGATACTTTTCCACCAAAACAATATTCGACGTTGAGCTGAGCTGCAATGAAGAAGCAGAGCAGGTCCTCCAAGCTAGCTTGACTAATGACTCGATACGTCATGCTCTGCTGTCACTCAGGGCTCTTCGCGGAAATCTCGAGTCGAAGAAAGAAAGAGAGACATCCGAGACTGGCGAACAGCAGAGATTGAGTTACAACTACGGTCTTCAACAGTACAGCAAAGCTTTGACGAGCCTCGCATCCAACCTTGCATACCCCAGCCCCGACAGTTTAAAGTCCGCACTGCTTTGTTGCCAAGTCTTGATCAGCGTTGAGCAAGTCCGAGGTAACTTCTCAGCCATGGGACTGCACATAATTCGTGGACTGAATATCCTACGCGAATACCGCGCCAGACCGTACCTGACCACTGATGGCCTGATGTCAGCACGGCACAGCGGTCTGCCTTCCTTGGATGTCTTCATTATAAAGCTGTTCGCTGCGCCTTGCAAGTTCACAGAACAACAACCCTCAGAATCTTTGAGCATAATGACGCCGCCGATTGAAACGAGGAGTGATCGAAAACTGGCGCCAAACATGCGAGCGGAACTCACGAAAGTTGCGACGTCCACTATTTCAGTTCTTGCGAGGGTTACAGAAATTCAGTCGGATGAACAGGCTCAATCCCTTCTTTCGGAAAGAGGAGACTTGCTTGATGGATTGGACTCATGGCTCGGTGCTCTTGAAAGTCTTCAGCAGGAAACGCAACCAGGAGAGCCCGAGTCAATCTCCGATAACTTCCTGCGCATCTTGTATCTCATCTTGAAAATCGTTCTTCTTGGAACTTTAGAAACTGCACCAGATCTTGATGCCAAGCTGATGGAAGAAAGCAAGCAGCTTCAGGATTTAGCGAATCTCGTCAATGAACGACTCAAGTGCTATGATATGCGACGGGGAATCGTGGTAGCTTAGCAAAGCAATCTAAATAGATGAATAAGTCATCTAATCTCGCGATATCTAGTTGCTAAGTCCGTCACGAATTTGTAAGCCCGAGACGCGAGTTGGATCAATGCGTGAGATGTGGCGCACCCAGAAAAGCATGCTGACCGAACCGACCAATGAGAGGCTGGCTCCGCTGTTCAGCCCAACATGCAGGTCCAAGTACATAAAGAAGTCATTGAACCATGAATATTGTTCTCAGCACATCCAACTTCCTCTGATCGTTCAATATCCACCAAATCCATCATTCTTCTTTGACTTATCGTCAATTCATCATAAGTCTCCTCCGATAACCCCTGCGACAACCTCTAACAGTTCCTGCGATAATCTTCAACAACTCTTCCGATAACTCCTCCATATCCCATCATGCACTTCCTCCTCCTAGGCGCAACTGGCCGAACCGGCAAATTCGTCGTCTCCGAACTCCTTTCTCAACATCACACCGCTGTAGCACTTGTACGCGACTCCAGCAAAGTCGCTTCTCAGCCTGACCTCACTGTCGTCACCGGCTCGCCGCTCTCGAAGGACGACATCCGCCGTGCTCTTACAGCTGCTCCAGGCTTGATACCATCCGCAACAATCATGACTCTCAACACGGTCCGAAAGTCAGACAGTCCCTTCGCAGCTCAAGTGTCTCCACCTCGCTTTCTGGCAGACTCGTGCGCTAATGCCTGTACGGTTCTGAAAGAAGCTGGTATCAAGCGCATCGTCGTCATGTCTACGGCAGGTGTTGGAGATTCATGGGGGAAGCTTTCCTGGGTGAGCAGAGCGTTCATGGGATGGACGAACATCAAATATGCTCTGGAGGATCATAATTTGGTTGATAAGGAGATTCGGGCAACCGACATGGACTGGACTCTCGTGAGAGCTGTGAGGCTGGAGTTTGGAAAGGAGACGGATAAGAATGTTGAAACACTGGGAAGTGCTGGTGAAGGAATGGGTATGGCTGATAGTGTCACGCCAAATAGTGTGGCGAGATTCTTGGTTAACGTTGCGGTTGAGGGATCATTCGTTAAGGAGGCCGTTGTTGTCCGAAACTGAGGAATATGGCGAAGACATGGTTTGCCAGTATCGGGATCAGCAGGATTTAATACACCAGGGACCATAATACTAAAGGGATCAAGGTAATTCCATGGAGTTTAATATAAATACCATGAATAAATATTTTGTACATGATATCTGCATACATCATGATCATGACCACTATATACAAAGAAGTTATACACAACTTCCCATGTTATCCAACTTCAGACACTTGGCCAAACTGCACTTAGTACACCTTGGTAACAGGAGTCTTGATATAAGGCTTCAGGCTAGTCTTGCCATTCAGCTCCTCATCAATAGCCTGAACAAAAGCCTTGGCAATGAGGTCCGCAGCCTCAGGGCTAGTATGCGTATGATCCTTAGGATACAAAGAGTTAACCTTTGTATTACCAAGCTTCTGATACATCTTCGTAACAGCAGCAAAGTGATCAACATAAGTGACGCTAGGGCTGTTCAAAGCCTTAGCAGCGGTAGGAACATATCCCACGAAACGAGGAGCGGCAGGCTCAAACGTTCCAGTCTCCCATTGGTTGTTGGGTGTCTGAGAGCTGAGAATCACAGTAGCGCCCTTGGCGACGAGGGCTTTGGCGGCTTGCGAGACGTAGAACACAAATGTGTACACCTTCTCGCCCGTCTTGTCGGAGATGCAGACTTCCGTGCCTGCGCCGGGACAGTCGGAGCGGTTGTTGTCGTTGTTTTCGGGAGAGCCGCCGTCGTTGTGGCCGAACTCAATGACGACGATGTCGCCCTGCTTGACGAGGTTCACGATCTCGGTGAAGCGGCCCTCGTTGGTGTAGGAGCGGGCTGAGCGGCCGCCGATGGCCTTGTTGACGGCAGTGACCTTGAGATATTTGCCGATGTAGTTACCCCAGCCGTCGGTTACACCGTCGTTGGCTCCATTCTTTGCCATGGTGGAGTCACCTTTTCATCTGATCAGCGTCTATCCCCAGATCACCACTGATTTAGTTACTCACCAGCAAAGTACACTGTCTGGCCAGACACGACCTGGAAAGCCCCAGCGGCGAGCGCCGCAAGTGAAAGAGACAGCTTCATGATGACTTGAGTTTCAAATAAAAAACCACTGACGAGTAAAATGAAACCCAAGAAGTTGCCCAGAGCTGTATATATCTACTTCAAGCGCATGAATTGCATCAATTAAACCCCCAAACTAACAATCCAGGTGATCATTCGTTTTACAAAACAAGGTTCGCGATCTAGACTCCGCGTTTGCCTATTCAGGCGGGCTCTCCGTCTGTGCCAAGCCTGATGAAACAGGGATATGAAGCCTTTTCCCACCATTCAGAAAACATATCGACCCCAGACCGCCGCCAGGATTGGGCCGGCACTTGTAATGCAACCGATTGATGGATAAAGTCCCGCTATTGGGAAGATGCCATTTCGTTTGGAATTGATGCGGTGCACTCGGTGCTCTCGGCATTGTTTCAGCGATTGCTAGTGTCAAAGGTTAAAATCATTCGTTGAGGTACGGGAGTTGACTCGGGGGAATGGAGACCGAACGCGGGGATAGTGGCATATCATTTCCTTTTTGATCGTAGGGACATTGGGGGAGATTTAAGCTTGGAAGGTGTCAGTTCGATGCTTATTGGGACCTCGGCTCTTGAGTTGCGCTATTCTAAAGGAAAGTGTCATTGAAAATGCCTAATACTTCACGTTCATCTTTTCGATAAAGCGGTGAGTTGAGCCGGACAAAAGGGAGTTCTATGGAATGATGCAGGCGTAGTCGTTTTGCCTCAATACCTATTTGATGCTTTTTAATCCAGATGGAATTCAGTCGGTATAAACTTTACAGACTTTAGTAAAAGCTGATTTGAAGTCGTAGGAACGGGACTCAGCACAATAGACAAATTTCGAGAAGTCTCGTCGGTAAACAGGAAACCAAAACGGAGAGACGTCAAACTCTTTTATTCAGGTCATATTGTCAAACCCCCGTTTCTTGCGTATATCACGTACATATGAACGGCGAGGAAGCTGGAGAAAGATTGTAGCCGTCCATTGCAAATGCCATGCTTCTTTATATCACATTGCGTACGAGCTCACCCTACAGCTGGTCACTTTTTAGAGAGCCTGTTATCGATAAGGACTTATGATCACCACGTCATACCTCTCTTATCCTCATGATACCGGCGATAAGTGATAAGAAGGCAACGATCGACAACGGTTTCAGGTACCACGAGCAGCCCACTATACCGCACATTTGTCCGAGCTCGCTATCAACGGGGCCGTCATGATCAGGAGATAGCTTCCGGATCAGAAAGCTTGTTTTCGTCTACTCTTGACCCACGTCGCTAATGGTGATGGAGACTCCATGGGGACATCGAAGTCGCCCCTCAAATTGGTTACGCAGCGTAGAAGATAGCGGAAGACATTTCAAAGAGATAAAGCTGAGACTTCCATGATAAAGTTTCACTTTAAATGAAATGCTAAATAAGAAGATACCATAGTTCTGGTACACCAGGAGCTGACGAGACCCGAAAACTGATTATCACGAGCTTCCATCACAATCAATCCCAAACACGCTCACCAATCCCATCCAATAACATCCCTACCATTTCAACTCATCACAAGCATGAAAGAGCCTCACCCCTTAATAAACCTCCATGAAACGAAACGAGCACTTTTCGCAAAAAAAGATTAAATMCCCCGCCAATAGCAGCGTCGACATTTGAAACACCACCATCCTTTTCCGTTAGGCGCTTCCTTGTGCAGGGATCATTTCCAAAATTCTAGATCCACTGAAGGAACAAATGTTGATAGATAACTTTCACTCGCAGGTTTTGTAACACAAACGGTCTGAGGTGACTGTGCCCTTGTGGATGTTCCTTGCTTTTGGCGGGAATTTTCCCGGTTGGTGTATGTGTGTCCATGGTTATGGACATTAAGGCGTGTTGCGTTGGATCCGCTGATCATCGCGTTGTATAGAGATATATAGGATGTCAATGTTCGCTGTGAAGTGATTCTGTTCAAGCTACGCTCTTTGTCGCTGCCTTTCTTTCTCATCACCGCCAGTACGGTGCTTTTCTTTTTCACTACCGCTCGCGGTACATTCCATTCTTTCACACAGACCCTGGTGGTCTATCCTCACTCACTTGAATCTTCAAACACTTCCATTCATTCTTCACCATGCGCTTCACACTCTCCAGCATGGCAGGCCTTCTAGGTCTCGCCTCCGCCCAAGGCCTTCGATCCTCCGCCTACACCGACCCCAAGACAGGCATTGAGTTCCAGCGTTTCGTCGACGATGGCTACAGTCTTGGTATTGCCGTCCCTGAGACTCTGGGTAGGGATCTCATTGCGCAGATGGTGTTCCCTCGTGAGAAGGAGGGTTGGGGTGGTATTTCGTTCAGAGGCGGTATGGTTGGTGGCATGCTCTTTGTTGCGTGGCCGAATGGCGATGATATTGTTACGAGCTTTCGTATGGCGAACTCGTACGCCAACCCGGACGTTTACACCAACAGCACCGTTAAGGCTACGCCTATTCCTGACGGTACCTTTATCAACAGCACTCATGTGTCATATACTTTCCTCTGTGAGGGTTGTGTTGTTAAAGAGACTACTTCGTTGACTGGCGAGTCTCCTGTTGTTGGATATGCCTGGTCATCTATCGACGTCGATACCCCTTCTGATCCCGAGAGCGCTCTGAACTATCATGGCGCTGGCTTTGGTCAGTTCGGTCTTGATATTAAGAACGCTGCTTCCTCCAAGTACGCCACCTGGGCTGCTATGGCCAAGGAGACCACCCCAGCTCCTGGAACAGGCACACCCGGCGTCCCTGGAAACTCCACCACCGTGCCTCCTACTACTTCCAATGTTACGTACGATGTCATCGTCGTCGGCGGTGGTCCCGCCGGTATCATCGCCGCTGAGCGTCTCGCCGAGTCTGGCGCCAGTGTTCTTCTCATCGAGCGCGG